GATACATAGTCCTTCTCTTTGGGCCTCAGTTTTTTTAACTGTAAAATTAGGGCATCAGGCCAGGTGAGCTCTAAAGGCTTTGATAGAACCATGTGATTCCATCCTCTCTCCAAAGCAGATGTGTGCCTGTGTGCATGCATGTGTGTGTGTGTGTGTTTGGTGGGGAGGGCGGTGGGGGGACAAAACCAGTTTCACTGCCACTGAGGTTCATCTCCAGAGTGACAAGACTTGCTACCTCCCATGCCTTCAAGCTGCAAAATGAGGTGTCCCCTGGTCCAGGGCAAATGCCCAATGGTCCGTGAGCCTGTGAGGCCTGGAGCCACTGCTCTGAGCTCCCCTCTTTCTGCTTTCCCCACGTCAGCCCTGGGCAATCCACAGCAGCCTGGACCTCAGATCCTGTGTCTGCCCAGGGGCTTCCCCAGGTGGAGCTGGGCAGGGCTGCTTGCTCTGAGCCCGTCACCCTTCTCATTGTCATCTACCTTCCTCTCCAACCCTAGTCCCAGGCTCAGCCCTGCCAGATCCCTGCCTAAAAGCCCCCAGTGAGCACAGGGACCGAATGTTCTGCAAGTATAGGCTTAGATGGGGGTGGGACCAGAAAGGTCAGACCTGGAGGAAAAGGGAAGCTGGAAGGGAGCAGGCAGCCCCTTCCCCGGCCCTGCTATGTGGGCTGCCCTGCAGGATTGGCAGAAGGAACTGCTAGCTTCCTCTGTTCCCTGAGTGCAGAGCAAACTGGAGTCTCCTGCCTTCACCTTTCTATCAGGAGCTCCAAATCCCACAGACATGGAGGCCATGGGCTCTCCCATGGGGAGAGGTGACAAGATTATGCCTGTGCTATGTCAACTGGCAGATCTGTGATTTGCACCCAAACAGAAGGACAATCCTGACAGATGAATCCCTCTGGGGGTGGGAGCTCTTCTCCCACTCAAAGGTCACATATGTGTGGTCTGCATATTAGCCGTGTCACTTCCTAGGTCCTAGGATGGGAGGGGCTTATTTCTGCATTTTTAACATGCCTCCTTCCCCCTGCAATTCTGATGCACACTAAAGTTTGAGAACTGGTGGGTAAAGCTAACGTATGCTCTAGTAAGCTTTCCAGCCTTCTTCCCAAGGACATTCAGGTGGAGATATCTTTCTTTCCAGTCTGGAATTCTCTAGTCCCACACAGTCTTCAGAGCCTGTTGCCTCCTGCTGGTCTCTCAGCTTGGAGCGGACCCCAGATACTCAGCAGTGCTGCGTAGGAGCTCCAGGCCTTTCCTTGCATGGGCTGAGTCCTGCAGGGCCAGCCCACCCCAGCTTCTCCAGGAGGAGCTCCCTAATCCTGTCAATGGCGATCCCTTTGTCCTTCCGCTGCAACCCTATAGCATATTCTGGCTTCTTACTGTAGGACAAGCTTTATGTCCACGTTCCTTTGAAGTTGGTGGTCTGGTGTTCTGGGGATAGTTACAAGCTTCTTTTGAGGAAGGATTCCTATTCTGGGGCATGGACACCTAGGAGTCCAAGGGTGGGCAGCAGGGGGTCAGAAAATCCCCTGAAATAGTATGCAGAACTGGGAGGGGGTACATTTTCCTGGGGCAAGTCCCTAACTTTCATCAGATTCTTGAAAGTTTCATAGCCTAAAACTGATTAAGAGACCCTTTAAGGACAGGGACTTTATCTTAGACATCTTCGTGTTTCCTGAGGTGCCCCTGTCACAGAGCTCTGCACAGGACACATGTAAACATGATCTTCACCGGGGCTGTTTCTGGTGAGGGGTGATGGTTTCTGCTTTCTGGATGTGGCAGCAGAGGAGGTATTGTCTCTGTGGTAAGAAGAGAACAGTACTTGTCTGTTTCAAAGGGTCTCTAAGTCATCTGGGGGATCCCACGTAGGCTTGGCAGTAGTATGTTCTTCCCCCAAGACAGGAGGGGTATGTGGCAGATGGACAAGAAAGAGACCATACCCCAGCACCCAGCCCCCTGCAGAAAGAGAGAGATGACTGCCAACCAAACCATGTCATTCTGCAGCACTTTTCATTTTGTACAGGAAATGGAGGCTATCACTTCTATAAGCTTCTGGATATAGAAGGAAATAACACATAGGCAGGCAGAAAGGGCAAAGGGGAGTTCTGCGAGGTGCAGGATCTGTCACGTGTGCATCCAGATCTGGGTCGTGTTTGAGATGGGGGAGGAATAGGAAATGTCTCAGACACTGAAGAAGCAAGGTCTGGAACACTTGCCAGGAGGGAATGGATGGAGGCAGTGTGAGTCCCAGGCAGGTGGGGAAGGAGTTTGGTGAAGGGAGAGCACAGCCCAGGAGCCAGGCTGAGCTGGTGGATGGGTAGTGGGTCCCACTGTAAGCCCAAGACCTGTCTATGCCAGGAGGGACAGGCATGCTAGAAATCCTCTGTAGGATCAGTAGAGGGGTGCGTGGGCTGTGACCCATCCCCAGGGAGGGGGTCAGGCCCCGTATGCTGGTACTTGAGGCATCTGCCAGGAGGGGCAATTCTAAATGTCCTCAGGGAGTGTCATCAGGATTCCCCTCCCACCTCAGCTCCCAAGAGCCCTGTGGACACTAGAGGCAGCTGTGGGAAGAATGTAGTAAATCTCAGTGTGCAGAATTCTGTCATTCAGATTGTCTGTGTCCCTGGGAGCCAAACAGTCCTGCCTGGGGCCTCTAACAGCAAGACACAGAAGGGAAGAGACATTCTCTCCCCGCAACAGTGCGCACAGACATCAGCATGACTGGGTGGGGCAGTGCCCCTCAGAATAGGATGGAACAAGTATCAGTGGTGCCCACAGGGGGGCAGGAGGAGTTACCCACAGGTGCCACATGGTGATAACCTGGTCTAGTCTGTGAGTGCATTTGAGGTGCCCCCCGGTTTCCAGAAGTTCTTGATGAGGCTTAGGGGGCACTTTGCAGAGGACTTGGGTCCTGCATTAGTGATCAGAGGTGAGCATCAGGGAGACCAGGTGACAGGTGAGAGTGGGCAGCAGGTTCCTGTATGTGGTCAGATGGGTAGAGCTCATGGCTAGAGGTCTGGGGCCAAGGGTCAGTCTTCAGGCAGGAACAGAGGTCAAAACATGACAGGAGCACAATTAGGGGGAAGTCAGGGAGCTAGCTGGGGCTCCTGAGAAGCAGGCAGTGGTTTGAGTGGAGGAGGCCAGAGAGCCAGCCGGGGCTGGGCAGCGGAGGCCTGCTCAGGTGGGAGCAGCAGGCAGCGCTGTCCTGCAGGGGCACCAGAAGGCACTGGGCTTTGCTTTGAGACCCTCGAGGCCCCATGGATGTAGAGGCACACGGGAGACCCCCTCTTATTCTGAGGAGGTGAATGGAGATTTGTGTTCTGCACCTTTTATAGATTTGGTGGACCTGGAGGTGAGTCAGGGTACTTTCAGATTCATTCACAACGGAAGGCGACTGGAATCAGGGCCTTCAGGGCCAGTTCACTTTTCATCTCAGATGGCTGGACTAGCCACTCAGGAAAGTACGTGAGGAAAGCATTGGCTCCACTGTGTTGGGGGCCAGAGCTCCAGCTGGGGCCTGAGTTGCTCTTCCAAGGGTGCGTCCAGATCTCTGATAGCTTGGTACCACTCTGAGCTTGTGAACCAGGCCTGGGACTGCACTGGGCAGTGGGAATGTGGGGGATGCCACTTGGGTTAGGGGTGAGCAGTTACAGCACACGAAGGTGGACAGTATCGGTTGATTGAGTGCCTCCTTTCAACGAGGCATAGTGCCAGGCCCCTTATAATCCTGGTGAAGCCTGTATTCACAGTGACCTGCGAGAGGGTTGTTAGATCCCCCTTTACAGGTGAGAAGGCTGCAGTTGGGAGATGTCAGGTGTTTGGCCAAGTCCTGCAGCCAGTAAGCCGCAAAGCTGGGCTCTAACTCCAGAGCTCTTCTCCACTTGGGGTCGTTACAGCCCTGTCCAGGGAGGGCCCCCAGGAAGTTGTCAGCAGAATTGCCTTTTGGTTATGACTCTGTCACTTAACGGTTGACCTCAGTTAGCCACTGCCTCTGTCTCTCTGTCTGCAAAAATGGGAGGGTACATGGAAGGATGGCAGCACAAGAGAAGCAGCCCTGGGAAATCTTTGAAAACCATGAGAGGCTTTAGAAGTGTAAGGGGTCGCGGAGAGCCACAGTGGCAAGGCTGAGCTGGGAGGAGGAGGAAGGGAGGCTGGCAGGGACCGGCGGGGGAGGCTGGTGCGGGTGATGAGCTGCGGGTCAGAGCAGGGAAGCCTCTGCGTCGCAATTCTGAAAAGGGTAGGTTAGCCCACTGCTTCGTTTCCCCTTGCAGAAGCAACACTTTCCTGCCAACTTCATCGAATCCCCTCCCTTGCCCCTTTCTCTGGGTTTTTACTCAAGGCTGGCTGGCCACAAACTTCCCACAAGTGTGAAGAGTGAGAGCCTGACACGAAGTCTGCCCTTTTGGGGCCTTTTGAGTTTTGATGGAGAGGGATTAGCAGCCGGGGACCCAGGGGTGCGGAGGAGGGAGTCTCTGGTGGCGCATTCTTAACCTTGGGGACAGAAGGGAGGGGTGTTGAGAAGGCTCTGGTGGGGCTCCCGGCTCCAGTGCGTCCTGGCTGGTCTCTGCCAGGGGTGGCAGACTATGCTGGGCCGGCCTCTGAGAGCTGGGCCGACTCCAGGCTGGGCCTCAGGCAGATCCCCGAGGCTAAGCCTCTTCTCCTTTCCTCTAAGCACATAGGGATGGGTGTCCTCCCACCCTCTTCTGTGGAGCCTGGCTCCTCCCAAGCCCTGGCTGGGGACCCAGGGCCAGCCCCCCTCCTGCCAGCTCTTTTCCCGAGACCCTTTGACCCCAGACCAGCTGTGAGTGAGGGGTCAGCCACAAGAGCAGCTGTCTGGCCTCCGGGAGGTGGAATCCAGGAGTCGGCCAGGCCCATGCAGGCTGGCTCCGGCTTGGGGAGGAAGGCCAGCAGCCCCAGCAGCATTCTGGAGGAGTTTCTGAATTACTTACTGGCTGGAGACCAGAGGCGGGAGCGGGCCCAGGCTGGCCCTGCTGGCTGGGGCCCAAGGAGCCTTTCTCCTGGCTCTGAGGCCTGACTACCTCTTGTTTGCTCTCTGCCTGCCTGCTCAGAACTGCAGGCTCCTCTGATGGTGAGTTCCAGCTGAAGGGGATCATCAGTGCTCCCCACTACCCCACTTGTGGAAAAGGTAACCAAGGGCCTGAGAGGGGCACTGTCCTCCCCTGGCCATGCCTGTCTCTCTGCGGGCCTTACTTGCAAACTGTGTTCCTTATCTCTCCTCTCCTCCGGATCACAAATCCCATGTGGCCAAAGTCAGGAGGAGGCCCCTCCAGTTCTTCCTTCCCTGGAGTCGCTGCGGGAAGGATAATGGCTTGGCAGCTCTAACACCCTTCAGTTCCGTTTCCCAGGCAGGAAGGCCCTTTGTATATAAGTGTCCTTTCCTTTAGACAGGACTGGATATGTAATTTGTGGGGCTGTTTGTTAAAAATTAAGAGTTTTAAGACAGTGAGATGAGATCATGACACCAAGCCCAAGCCTTCAAAGTGTGGGGCCCTGTGTGACTCTACAGGTTGCACCAGAAAACCAGACCTGCTTCCCCCCATCTCTCTCCTAGACTATAGAATGTCCTTGGGGCCTTGACTGGAAGGTGGGTCTGAACAGATACCTACCCGCTCTGTTCCCACCTTGTCTTACTCTCTCCTCAGTGGTAGTGCCTGATGCCCCATCCTGACCTTCCTCCCAGGGAAACTGAGGCAGCAAGGGGCCTGGGGCCTCATGATCCCATGCAGTACTATCCATCTCAGACAACAAGGGGAGGCTAGGTGTGCTGGTGGCTGGGTTCAGGCGCCCCCCAACTCCCTTGGGGTCAGTGTGCCAACCCCAGGGCTTTGGGCAGGGGGTGAGGCAGTACAGAAGTTCCCATCCCGGCCTCCTGTTCCCCATAGTGTCATTCTCCCCAGGAGAGGGGACAGGGAGGCCTGGGCTGCTTTGCCAGCTCCAGACCAGGCCTCCATGCTGCCACGCCTACTTGCTTTGTTTGCTGTCACCACTGCATAGCAGCTGACTCAGCTGCCACCTGGCAGGGTGACTGCCCTTGGGGCTGTTCAGTCCCCTGAGCCAGGGGAAGGGAGAAGCCTGGGCCAAGGAGGGTCCTGACTTGGGGATTTTGCCTGCCTCCAGTAGCAGCAGCTGGCGGAGGTCAGGGGGAGCAGGCAGGCCCTGCCTGGGGCCTGGAAAGGGCCTCCCAGTTGCAGGGAGATCCCAGGCCAGAGGGAAAATGGGCCTGATGGGAGCCACAAACCAGCTGCCGCTCTGCCCTGGCAAGCCCCTCAGGCCACAGCCAGTATGAGATGCTCTTTTCCCCAGCCTCCTCCTCAGGTGCCGAGGCCTTCCACCAGCCTCGGGGGCAATAATGCTCCCCTCCCCTCCCATTGGTCAGGGCCTGGCGAGGGGCTAAGTGGTCTGTGTGCAGTGTCTTGTTTATTCTTCCAAAAGCTTTAGGAGGTGGGTCCCATTATTACAATAATGAGAGTCAGATTAACTGAACAACTGGTTCCAGGCCACACGGCTGCCACGTTGTCCCCTGTGCTGCTTTTCCTTCGCAGACGTCATTACAATGACAGTGTGTGGGCGGCTGATTTTTTATGTATGCCGCCCTGATCGGGCCTTAAGCTCCATGCCATTGAGTGGAGCTGTGGTTCGGATTTACATCTGGTCAATAGCAATGCTCAAGGCTATAACCCTGCTGCCACACACAATGCCCAGCACATATTAGAACCTCCATAAATAGGGAAGGGAGGGAGGGAGGGAGGAGGAGGTTGAGTCAGGATTCCAACCTAGGCCAGCCTGATGCCAAGCCTGTGTCCCTAGCTACTGGGCAACACTACCTCCCTCTCATTGAGGGCTCCCTTGACATACTATTGCCAGGCTAGTGCGGGTCCTTGCAGAAAACCCAAATGAGGCTCTGCATGCAGCCCAGACTGTAGAGGGGGCAAGACTGACTGACCTTGGCATCATGGTGGGAGTTTGGGGGAGAGAGGGATGAGGCCCTGTCACCCTTCCCCACCCCGCTGAAGCTTGAGGGAGGCTCCTCCTCCACAGGCCCCGCCGGTCCAGCAGGTCCCTGGTTGACTTACTCCCTCAACCCTGAGATATGCTGCCCTTACCAGTCCTTCCATGTCTATTGTGAGGCAGGGGTCTTAGCAGCTGGAAGTCTGTCTCTGGGAGGCTGTGTATCAGGAAGGGTGTCCACAGGGAGGCCTTTTCTGGAAGAAGCACCTGCGCTTACAGCATGCTTCCGATCCTGCCCCGTGGAGCAGTTCTGTCCTCAGCTTTCCTGGTGCACTCGGAATGCCCGCTTTCAGAGTTCTGCTGGAGCCTCGGCCTCTGTGCCAATACCTCGGTCATCCCAGGCATCTGTGGGTGTTCACCCAAGATGTGTTTACACCCAGGCACTGCCAGGCTGCTGGGGTGGTGTGTCTGCTGGAGCAGCTCTCAGGGAACCCCACAGCTGGGTTGCTGAGAGCAAGGAGCTGTTCACTCCTTCTGTCTTCTAAATGTATTCATCACACATCTTTGAGTCCCTCCTCTGTCCCAGGCATGCTGCTAAGTCTGCAGATTTACAGATGGGAGCACAGCCACAGACTCAGGGGACCCACAGTCTAGCAGAGGAGGGCCGTGTGTCACCAGCCAGTGGACATACAATGATGGTATGTACAGGGAGCACAGAGAGGGTGCTCAGTATCTCCTAGGATGCTTTTGGTTGCAAGCACCAGAGACCTTGACTCAAAGAAGCCTAGAGAGAAGGACATTTATTGGCTCACTTCATAGGGAGGGTGTAGGGTGGGATTGCCCAGCTACTCAGTGATGTCATTGAAGACAGGCTCATCCTGTCTCTCTGTCCTGCCATCCTCAGCATTTTTAGTGGTGCCATCTCCAGTCCACATGGTGGATGCCACAGCACCAAGAGTCACATCCTCACACAACTGCATCCAGAATCAGAGTGGAAGGGTGGGTGTTCCTGTGCTTGTTACTTTTATCAAGGAGTGAAATTTTCCCCAGAAGCCTCTGGTGGACTTCCCCTTACATCTCACTGGACCACTTGGGTCACATGGCCATGACTAGCTGCAAAGGAGGCTGGGAAGCTGAGTACCAGTCATCCTCAGCTCTGCCCGGAAGACAGGAGAAGAGCACTGGCCATCCAGTGGGAAAGAGGTCACCTGCCTCATTCCATCTATAGCAGGGCTTCTCAACAATGGCACTTGGCATCTGGCCTGGATAATTCTTTACAGTGGGGGCTTGTCTCAGTCCATACAATAGAATACCATTGAGTGGGTGGCTTATAAACGCAGCAGTTTATTTCTCCCAGCTCTGGAGGCTACAACTCCAAGATCAAGGTGCCGGCAGATTTGGGGTGTTGTGAGGCCTGCTTCTTGGTTCATAGACAGCTGTTTTCTTGCGGTGTCCTCACATGGTGCAAAGGGCAAGGGAGCTCTCTAGGGTCTCTCTTATAAGGGCATTAAGCCCATTCGTAAGGGCTCTACCTTTATGACCTAATCATCTCCCAAAAGCCCATCTCCTAATACTATGACTTTGGGGGTTAGGATTTAAACATGGGTTTGTGTGGGGGACACAAACATTCCATCAACAGTAGGCTCTTCTGTGCATCACCGGGTGATTAGCAGTATCCTTGGCCTCTGCACACCTCCCCTGAGCCATGACAACCCAAAATGTCTCTAGACATTGCCAAATGTCCTTTGGGAGAGTAGAGATCACCCCTAGGTGAGAACCACTGATCTAGGATCTTCCTTAAGCCATAATGAGGAGTTGGGAAGGTTTCCCTGGAACAGGTGCTGGCTGAGCTGAGATGTGGAGAATGAGGAGGTATGTAGCTGAGGAAGGAGAAGGACCTCCTCTCCTTCCTACATGTGTCAGTCTTTCTGCAAACATGTACTGATGCTCCTTCACATTTTTATACAGCTTAAGATTTCCACTGTGCTTTTGTTTACATCATCTTACTTATTCCTCTCACACTCCTGAGAAGTAGGTGCAAGTATCCCACTTACAGATACAGAAACTGAGGCTCAGAGGAGCTGGAGCCTTACCACATGGCCAGAGAGCAATGGGAGAAAGCTTTGAACCCAGGTCTTCAAACCCGGGTTCTGCCACAGCACCAGATGTTGTTGAGATGGGATAGACAGCGGTATGGCTAGGTGACTGTGGCGGCTGCTACGGCTTGGATTGGTTTCCAGGCAATGTGGCACAGATTGGAGGGAGGTGTTGTGGGAGTCACAGAGACTGAGGGGTGCACCTCTTGCCTCTGATCTCCTGCCAGCCTACCAGCTGTGGGCTGCTGACGTGGCGGTAGCACGCTCAGAGTGCAGTGGGGCCCTGTTGGGAGATCGATAGGTAGTGCCTCCTCTCCCCTTTCTTCCCCTGTCCCTTTTGCCCTTGGCCTACCTGTGTCCTCGACCTGCCACCCACCTGCCCTGTCCTTGGGAAGGGCTTTGGGGTGACCCTTTCTGGCTTGGGAAAGATGCTTTGGGGGCTGTTTTACACAGAATGGATTGAGGACCCACTGTGGAGCCAGGACTCAAGGAAAGAGAAGCCCAAGAGCCGCCTCACACTTCCCAAAAGGCCGAGGAGATAGAGGCGGCAGCCTCCCGGACGTGGCAGAGGGGAAGGCACCGCGTCCCACCCACGTTCATGGTGTGACTCCAACGGGCTGCTTGGAGGACAGCTGCTCGGAGAGAAGCCTGGAGAGCTAGGCAAGGGTGCTGGAGGGCAGCCCCCTCCCAGTCCAGGAGTCCAGCCTGTTCTCATGGCAGGGCAGAAGCAAATGACTCCATATCGGGAAGATGCTTGGTCACTGCTGGGGGAGATGTGGGCAGGGGTGCACTTACCAAGAAGCCGAAGAGGCTGAGCTGAGGGACCCTGAGTCAATGAGGCCATCTACTAAGGCCCTGGGAGGTTTTGATGCTTATACCATTCTCAGCTTTTAGAAACACTGCCATTTGTTATGTTATCCTAAAAAACATCCATTTTCTACACCTAACTTTGTATTTGTAAAATTGTATTTTTTAAAGAGACTCTCTGAATTGTATAAACAGCCCTCACAGAACCTGCTTCCCAGGCACACTGGCCCACAATCCCCCAGTGTGATATGCGTCGCTGAAGCCAGATGCATTGCTGCTTTTTACAGACACCTAATAAAAATTTGATCTCCCTGAGCCAATTTGGGGTCCTACTTTCTTTTTCTGTGCTTCTCTCAACCCTGCCTTGGAAAGCGCAAGCAGCTTGGCGGGGTTGGAGGACTTGCGAGTTGGGAGCGCCCTCTGCTGGGAAAATGGAGGCACAGCCAGGAGGGAGACCCAAACCCCAGCAGCTGCTTCCAAGTTTAGTTGTTAGCGACCCTGGCAGGGAAGCATGTGGGGCTGTGGTTAGCATATAGGCAAGACCCTCTGGTTGGGCAGAGACACCCTCTTGTTGAGCAAAGACATATTCAAGAATACACATCATGTCTCCAAAATTCAAATGTGGGCATGCTTTGTGTGTATACATTTTACATTTCCACCACACCTGGGGTAACACCACCTGGAGTGTACTGCGATTCAGTTCTGACACTCACCACCCCGAGGTAGTGGCAGATTCCACAGGTTCAGGGCTCAGTGACTAACAGCCTCTCCCACTTCAGATGCCAGCTGCAAGGGGGTCCCCAGGACACCTGCACTTCTGATCAGCTGGCTACAAAGTAGGGGGTTCCCATGACACCCTCAGGGTTGATAATTCACTGGAACTGCTCACAGAACTCATGGAAAGTGCTGTACTTACTAGGATTACAGTTCTGTTGTAAAGGATATGACTCTGGCGCTGCAAGTGAAGAGACATGCAGGGCAGGATCTGAAATGGAGAGCAGAGATCACACACCCTCTCCCTGTGGAGTCAGGATGTGTCACCGTCCCAGGACATCCATGTATGTGTTTGCCTCTCAGGAAGCTCCTGAGCCTCAGTGTCTAGAGTTCCCCTGAACTTTCATTAGGAAGCAGTGATTGATTGAACACTGGCTGGGTTTGAACTCAATCTTCAGCCCTCTCCCTACTGGCCAAAAGTCCCAAGCTCTGCTCAGGAGGTTGGCCTTTCTAGTGACTAGCCCCATCCAGAAGCTTCTAGGGGCCCACCCTGGGTCACCTTATTAGCATAACAGACACACCTCCTGTTGCTCAGGAAATTCCAAGGGTTTTTGATGCTTAGTGCCAAGAAGTGGGAAAAAGACCCTGTCCTGTACCTGATTACACCACGACATGTGTACACACCCACCATAGTTCTCATTCATCCTGGTCACCACAGCAGCCAGCCAGTTAGCCCCATTCAGGTTCATCCACAGACTCCTTAAGGTGGTGGCGAAACAACAAGACATCCCTCCAGGGACCACACCACCGTCCCTCCCTAAAGGTCACCACCGGGCCTCAGGGTTCCCTACCCCAGCTACTCTTAGTTTCCCTTCCCTTGCAGAATGTCTCCTTCCTGAAGAACTGCTCTTTTCCTCTAGTTCAAGGCCGCTGGTCAGCAGCCTGTATTTAGGACACAGGCTTGCCTTGCCAATCATTGTTTTCTTTTGTTTAAAATAAAGCAAAGCAAAACAAAACCAACCCCAAACCCCCCCTTGGCAAGGCAGCCTAGTCCCCTAACAGCTTGCACCATGGACCAGCAGGCTCTGGACTCTGAATAACCCCACCAGTATTGCCACCACCCCTGTTCCAAGGACTCCATCTAGCTGTAATGGGGCAGCTCCTAGAGGGAATTCTCTGTGGTCCCCAGTTCTTTGGGATGCCAGGTCCTGAGTCTATCTCAGAGAGTGATTGGTGTAGGCATGAACCTACATCCCAGCTGCTCCTTCCGAGGCTTGTAAGGTGGGCATTCCCAGCTCTGGAATATGGTTCAGAGCTCAGCAGCCAAGAAACATGCCAGCTGTCTATGGTATCCCTGCACTGCCCACATGGTGCTGCTGGTCCCTGGCCTTCCCACCTACTTCTATCCTGAAGATTCTGGACACATTCCTTAGATTTAATGCAAACCTTAAACCAAAGCCTGGGATTAGAATGCTCCCCATGGTGGTTCAAAGGCCCAATACTTGAATATTCTCCAAAGATGGCTGTTCATTGGCCCCTAATGTGCCCTGCTGGACCCATAGCTCCCCACACCCCTTCCTTGAGGAGTAGAACTCCACTGTAATGAGATCATGCTTACATGAAACACTTGTTGTGTGCCAGGCCTTGGGCTCAGTGTTCCACATGCATGATCTCATTAAATCTTCCCAGCAGCCCCGTGAAGGACAGGGCACCATTATTATCTCTGTTTACTAATGAGGAACTCTCAACACTCATCAGGTTGAGTGATTTTCTCAACGGTGCAGAGCTGGTAATTGGTGAAATCAGGCAGAATTCAAACCCAGAATTGTCAAATGTCAGAATTTGCATGCTTAGCCACTTTATGCTTCTGGCACACAGATATTTCACACTCTTCCTTCTTTTCTCCTACCCTACCTCTCCTGGTGCAATTTCTGAGCAATGCAGGGAGCAGGGAGGGCATATCGTCCTGGTCTTGAGAAATTAACCACAGTGAAGCACCACCTGCCTATGCTTCCCTCCCATTGGCCAGTCCAGCCCACCCTGGAGCTCATGCTTGCTCATCAATTCAGTTATTCTTGTTTGTGGCAGAAAGGATGTAAACAGAACAAGTGCATTTCAACTTCCCCATGTTGATACGAAGCTGCCTGGAAGCCACATGGGGCAGTGAATCTCAATGGCTAAGACCTCAGGGAGCCAGAGCCATATTACCAGGGTCTGAATCTCAGCCTTGCCACTTACTGGCAGGAGACCGGGGGCAAGATGATTAAGTTCTCCATGCCTCCATTTCCCCAACTGTAAAATGGGGATGCAGTGAGTGCATGAAGCCAAATTGAGTTGGACATGGAAGGGGCACCCCAAGGTGCTTTTCCCCCCGCTGCAGCCTGACCCCCTTCAATGCTGGGCTTGTGGGCCAGCGCCTCCCACTGTCTTTGACCTGACGGCCTCTCCTATTCCTGCAAGGTCCCTCCTGCCACATCGGTCTTGCTGCTGCGGCTGCTCCTCCTACCTGCCAGCCTCCTGACTTGTCACGCTGGTAAAGTATGAGTCAGCCCGTTGTTAGAGGGGCGTTCCTTGTGCAGCCCTGCCCAAGTGGAGCAGGTCTCCTCTGGTGGTCTTGCTCACTCCAGGGTGGGCTGACTCTGGAAGGGGACTGAATTTTTATGGAGCTTTTACCTGCTGCCTGATTTTTTTCCTCACAGCAAGGGCATGAGCTAGTGATAGAAAATGAGGACACGGAAACTTGGAGAGGTCTGTCCAGGTCTGTCTAGTCTACTGGACCCTGAGGGGCCCAGATTTCAAACCGGTCTCTTCAGGGGCAGAAGTTTGGGAGACCAGAGAAAGTGAATGGCAATGACTGGTCTGTAAGAGCCCGGAGCCCAGCCCTCAGGACTTTTGGAGCTGACCTGACACCTGGTGGTCACAGGCAGGAATTACTCTACCAGTGGGAAGGTTCCAGGGCTGTGGCAGGCAGGTTTTTGACTTGGCCAGCTCACTTAAGTGAGTGTGGCCGCGTCAAGAGGTGGCCTGGAGGGTCCGAGGTGGTGCTGGGAGGGAGTTTTGCCTCTCCCATATCTCTGTCATTCCCAAAAATCTACAAACAAAAAAATTAGATAAGAAAATTTCTCTTTTCATTTTTTAAGCAAAAGATGAATAAAAAAACCTCTTGAGAAAACTTTGCTGTTTTTATTGATCTGTACCTGTTTTGACACTTCATGGCCTCATAATCCTCAGTTCTCCCTGCAGACACCAACGGTTACTGGTTGCACAGTTACAGGCAGGGGACTTGATGCAGAATTTTATGGATTGTAATAGAAAAGACATGGGCTCTGACCTTCAAGGGGATTCGATTTATCTGGGGAGTCGGAGCAAAGACATCCAGATACCCGGGAGGGCATGGCAGCTTGAGTTTCAGCCCACTAACTCCTTATTGCATTTCTTTTTTTTCCCTTTTCATCGTCCTTATTTTGACTCTGAGCCCCTTTACCACCCAATTAATGGAAATTCATCTTCAGATTAAGACTTTGAATAAGGAAGAGAAAGGGGAAAATATGCAGCAGGGAGGGGGACTAAGTTATTTCAAATAATGATCCTGCTATATGAGGCACAGAGGCCTCAGCATCAACTCCGCCCTTAGTGAAGCAAAGTGAAACCCAAGGGCTGGGGCCAGACGTCTCGACGCTGTGACAGCATTCCGCCAGTGCTCTAAACTGTCCGTTCCGGAGTAGCCCCAAACTTTCCCAGTTTCCCACCACTTGCCCAAATAATTGCCAATGCCAGATGAAAGTGTTGGTTTATTCCACAAGTATTTATTGAACGTCTACTACATACACGCCATGCATTGTGTGTGCTACAGACATGCATGAGACAATTCCTGCCCCTGTTGGTCCAAAAACGCTGGCAAGGTTAATCCAAATCCCCATCCCCATGTTTTCTATTGTTCTTGGCTATTCTTGCTCTTCTTATGCTAAGTTCTTCACGTCTCCCCAGATTCCCAAGGACTTTTAAAAAGAAATGCAGATTGGTAGAGTCCCTAGAACAGATCGGGAAGCCTTTATTTCACCTTTCTGGTGGGAGGTCTTATTTCCACCTTTCTGGTGGAAGCATGTGGCTCCAAGCTTGGGTGGCCAGGTAATGCCAGCCACAACTAGATGCCAGGTCTTCTGCCCTGGTTTCCTGCTTTCTCCCTGTGACCCCTCAGCATTTGCTCCTAAAGGCTCTGCCCTCATTTCCTGAGCATCTCATTTCCTGTGCCCTCTGCCACTGCCTCCCCCAACTCAGAAATCTTCCCCTTGACACAGTTTACAATTACGATGATGACAGCTTTTGTGAACTGACCTTCTCCCCACTGCTCTCTTCCTGCTGCCTAGCAACTCCATGGCATTCCCAATTTGTCTTCCTGGTTCTTAATGAGGCTGCCCAGGATGTGCCTTCTGGTGTTCACTAAAACCAGAGGGTGCCCCTCACCCCACCAGCAGCCTGGAGACACCAAGACCAAGCCTGACTTTATTGGCTCGCTTACAGTCCTGGCCTTGGCATTCGTCCACCCAGGTTCCAGCCAGCTCTCCACCTCCTCTTTTCCACCATCTGACTTGCCAGGACTTCTCTGTTGCTGAGACTTCTTTTCAGACCATTCTTGTTGCTATGGCTTCAAGAAACTGGTTTGGAAGGTAAGGAGATAACAACTGGGTCTGCTCTGGTGAGCCCATGTTAGAGAAACTCATGTGTGCAAACATTATATACCAAAGGATGTTTGGGACAGTATGATTTGTAGCAGCAAAATATTGGAAATAACTTAAATGCCCATGAAAATGAGAATTATGAGACTTCCATGTTAGGAAATACCATATAATAGTTAAAAAGATGGAGATGGATTTAAATGTACTGACAGGGAAAGATCGCCAAGACATACTGTAAAGCAAAGCAAGTTCAGAAGAACATGCTCATATGATCCTACTAATGATAAATAAGAAACCCTGTGTGTGTGTAAAATAACAAATAATAAAACACATGTACTCTGAGTCCAGCACCTGCCAGATAATGTTCTAAATGCTGTACAGGCATTAATTCATTTAATCCTTAAAAAATTCAATGCCACAGGTACTTTTATTAGCCTCAGAACTTAGATGGAGAAGCTGAGGCATGGGGTGATTGGGTAACTTGTCCAAGACTCCGCAGGAGTGGAGCCAGGATTGGGAGTCAGGTGGTCTGGCCCCATAGCCCACGTTTCTAACCATTATATCACACATACACACACACATGCTCACATACTGGATTGTATGAAAACCCACACTGTTCATGGGTGCACCCTGGGAGGATGAGTGAACTGTGGGGGTTGCTATACTTTGGTGTTTTTAGAGTTTTTCCAAGTAGACGTAACTTGTAACAAAAACTGAACATGAAAAATTAATGCATCAATAAGAATGATAATTCTGCTCTCACAACTATTAGAGCTTCAGTGTGTGATCTCAGGGACAATCTGAGGTGTCCGCAAGACACCCCTCTTCTCTGTTCCCAAGATTCAGGAACCTGAGCCCCAGTACTGCCTCTGAAAGGCCACATGACCTCATATGTAAAGCTGAAAGGTTTTCTGGACCTGGAACCTGGTCTCCTGACTCCTCCTGGGGCTCTTCCCACCAGTGTCCCAAGGGACAAGAGGCACCACTTTAGGGAGGGCAGTAAGGGTGTTTGGGACAGTGGGTCGTGGGGTGAGCCTGAGCTATCCTTGGTTGGGGGTCTCTTGCTGGATGACATGTGCCTGCCCTTTATGTGCATCATCCCCACCTCATCCTTACAAAACCTCTTGCATGTTGTGGTTATTACCCCATTCTAAGGATGTGGGCACTGAAAGTCCTGCATATGGCCACACCCTTGCTGAAAACGGTTTGCAGATGGGTCAGTCTGCCCCTCCCATCTGCACCATGGCTGCTCCCCACGGAGATGCCAGTCAAGGCACAGGAGAGATGTACTGGGCAAAGGCTTGTGGGGCAGGACCAGTGGGGGCTCCTCTGATGGAGCTCCTTATGGACACTACAAGACATGAAGCTCAGTGCCTGATGGATGGGAGTCCCAAGGAATTCAGCCAAAGTCACCCCCTGTGTCGCTCCAAAAGCCGCAGCAGAGGTGGGTGACTGGCAGTTCCCTGGTGCACATGTGCTCACACCCCACAGTGTGGTACTTGCTGTCCCTCTGTCCTCTTGTCTCTATGGGACACCCCCTGCCTAAGAGATACCTCCTGGCTCCTGTGGTACCTGGCACACACCCCAATGCAGGGGTCTAACCATTTGCTCCCTTGTGTCACCTCCTATTCAGCTGTGAGCACTGTGTCCCTGGTTTCTGGCTCTGTCGTTGGTAGCGCATGGCTAAGAAGGAAGTTCTGCCGAGAGAATGAACTTAAGATGAGGAGGTACCCAGAAGGGTGGCCTGGCTGCTGTGGGTGGGGGAGGTGGGGAGGTCCCACCTAATAAAATACAGACAGAGTGGTCCCTGGAGCTTAGCTCAACCCAGACAGGGTGCCTTATGGAAAGGTGGGGGTCTGCCTGGGGCAGAAGCCAGATGAGGCCTGGACTGACCTGAAGTCCACCATGCCTGTCTTCTCATCCATCCTCTTTATCAGCTCCCTGACTTGGTACCGGTTTACAGGGACCTTGTCCTGCTGAGGAGGTGGAGGGAACATTCAGGGTTAATGGAGTTCTCTGCTCAGCCCTCCCAGGCCTTCCCTCACCCCTGCTCCTGACACACACCATGGGACCACAGATGGCAACTGAGGGCTCAGAACATATGGGACCCACAACAGGCAGGAGGAAGCCCCTAGCCAATGGATCATCGCTCAGACTCCAGAGGGTCTCCTTTTGCTGGGAAGCAAGAGGGGTGAAGGAGATTGGGGCCCAGGTGTACTGGGCAGTCCTGGGGGTGGACAGGAACTCCCCTTTGTGAAGTTCATTCTCACCTCCCAGCTACTGAGTCCTGGCCAGGCCCCTCCACCATGGGTCCGCCACCAAGTGTCTTATGCATCCCTACCTGCGCCCCAGTGGGGCTGCCTCTGCTGGGTCCTATGCTTGCCAGACCCAGGTCCTTCCTAGGGCTGCTCTGGTGATGGGGCTCTGCAAGCTTACCTGTCAGGGGGCCTTTAGCACCTTCATCACCATGGGGGCATTATCATATTTCCAGCAAGACCAAAGGGCTGAAGGTAGAAATACTGGGGCTTTGGGATATGGTCTCTTCTCCCACTCCCTTTTTTAATCTGCCCAGTGTCAAATGCAATCTTGAAAAGGACCTGGGGGGCATAGAATGTGTGTCTTCAGGTGGCACCTTGGGTCATCAGACCTCACAGCATAGAGAGACTTCAGCCGAAGACTGAGGGAGGCTGTAGGTTTCCCTCAGGGACTAGGTAAATGAGGGAGATCAACTGGCTTCTCACAGCCATTCCCAGGAAACTCTATGAAGTGTTCATGCTTTGTGTTGTCTGCCTTTCACACATACACACACACACACACACACACACACACACAGTGCTGCGGTTACCAGGGATCAACACACCTGTATCATAGCTTTCCGGAACTCGCCCACAGGCATCTTCATCGTCCCATTAGGGTTTAAGCTCTTGAAGAAGTCCATGATGGTGATTTTTTGTTGGTCTACATAGCTCTGCGGGGACAGGAGACACCAGGGGCGGACACCGGGCCTTATAACATCTGTGACACTCCTCTGCCCTTCCCCTCCCTTTGGCCCAAGTTCCCAGAACCAGCAGGGGCAGGGCAAGTGTAAGAAGGCAGATTCAGCAGCTTGAGTCTCCTTTGTGAGTAGTCCCTGAAGATCAAGAGCTGGCGCAGACTGAGGTTCAAGGTGCTCATGACCCTGCCTGTGCATGTGCCCAGTTCCAAGGAGGCACCCCCTCCCCACCCCCTTCTCAACCCTGCTCCCCTCCGCCCAGAACACACACACCCTGAGCAGAATCTCCAGGCCCACCAAAGGCGGAAGGATTGGAGCCAATGCAGTTAGGGTCCCACAGCACTGGAGGGAACAGCGAGGGTGATCACATTTCCAGTTAACTCAGTTTTGAAACCGCCTCTGCTAAGACTAGTGTAGATGGTGCCCTGGGATGGCAGGTAAGCCATTAGCTCAGCACCAAAAGACCACTGAGTATTTTAAAAATAATATTTCATCAATTTCATTTAAAAAATATTACCTACTCACATTGTAAGGTGATTTTAGATTAGGAGAAAGAAGAGAATGAAAAATAACTCATAAATTCAATCTCACCATCCAGAGGTAACATCTTGATGTATCCTTTCATCTCTATCTATATCTATCTATCTGTCTGTCTGTCTGTCTATCTATCTATCTATCTATCTATCTATCTATCTATCTTTCCATTATCTATCTTTAATCTATATCCATCCACCTACCCATCCATCACCTTTCACTGTATATAGTTTTACAAAATGCACTGGACCAATACATTGTGAACACCCTCACAATGTCATTAAATATCCTTCTAGAATCCTTACATCGTTTTTGTTTCTCTTCCCCTCCCACTTCAAAAGGCCCCGGGCAAAGCCCAGCCTACTGAGGCATTACTGCAGACATCCTGCTCACCCAGGGATCCTCCAGGATCAGTCCTTGGCCCCTGCCCTTTGTGCCCCACACGCCCCTCTCTGGTGTGCAGGGCCTCTCCCCGCTGGGGTGACTTCTGTTCTGCATGCTCAGCAGCTGCTCACAAGTCCATGCTGACATCCCCCTCACTGGCACCTCAGTCCATCACATCGGAAGTGACCCGGTCAGCTACCTCTGCATCACTGAGTGCTGTGGTGGCTCCATGGGGGAGCCCTGACACCCACTTCCATTCTTCATAGCACACCACTGCATCATGAGGAGACCAGAGAGCCGAGAAAAAGCAGTGTTCCCCAAATCCCCATGCAGCTAGGGGTTGGGATGGAATGGTTTCACCAAACACTCAGTCTGATGTGGACAGAGCAGGCCGTGAGCAGCTGTGGGGGAGGCAGAAACAGTGGCATCCTGGCAACCCATTCGGGCTGTGGGGAGCCATTTCCAGAATCTAAACTCGGAGTGTGTTTCTCTAGCCCTCCCAACGTGCCCCTGCCTGTCTCTGGAGACATGTGCCCCTGCCTAACCCAGCTAAAGCGGATTGTGTGGTCAGCTGTATGAACTGCAGCCCAACAAGGGCTGTTGCTGTGGTAAGTGCCATTGGTGAGACCCAACAGAGCTCCTGCCTGGCAGAGTTTGGAGTCGTGTAGTGAAAGGGTAAAGTGGGAGGCCTCGGGAGCATGTGGCAAGGCCCGTTATCCCCAAGAGGGGATCTGAGAAGGGCCACCCAAGGATGCCCACCTAGGGTGTCCCATGTTTGCTGGATGCATGTTATGCTGGGCCTTGCTCTGAGTACTGCATGTGTATCATGGATCTTAATCTTCACAGCAGCCCTACTGGTGAGAGGATGCTATTATGCCCATTTTACAGGTGGGAAGACTGAGGCACAGAGAGCACAGGGGCTTGCCTGTGGCCTACACTAGCAAGTGGAGGAGTCTGGCTGGTAGAAGCCATCCTGTTCAAGCGCCTCCCGCTGCAGCCCATGCTCAGCTCCTCCCTCCCTCTGGGAACCACTGCCGAGGGAGCCAATGTTCACAGGGAATATTCCAGGTCTGAGACATTCCTTGCCAGAGAGGACTGTGCAGACCCTTTGGGGGAGGGGAGGCTCTGGGTCTCTGGGGTCTCAGAGGAGAGCAGGCACTCACCTGGATCGTTTTAATCGGGTTCGTCCACATGAAGAGCGTTTTCCTGGAAGAGAGGCCCTGTACGGCCTTGTACACCACGTCCAGCTGGGGGTGGATGGCATACACCCCATCCAATGTTTTCATGAACTGCTCAGACACCAGCACGTTCTGAGGCAAGGGGAGAGGAGACCCATCACAGGAGGCCACCACTGTCATGCCATCTCCCTGCCCAGACCAGCGGGCCCACCCAGGCCAACGTCAGAATGTTCTGACGTCTTTTCCAGTTTGTTCTGCAGTACTGCTCCTACGCTGGGATGGGTCACTCCTTATAGAGCTTGTGATTTGACTCGTAAGTTTCCCATGTGACTGTGATCAGAGATTCTAGCGGGATGCTGGTGGCCTGTCACACACTGTCAGCTCTGCTCTGCTCTCAGACGGTGAGCATAAGGGTCTGTGCATGACAGATGAGACTCAGCTGTGGGGTTGCCGGGCTGGTCCCCAAACAAATGCCCTGAAATGTCCATTTCAACACCATAGTTGGCCTTCACAGCTGGTGCCCTGGAAGAGGATCCCTCGTCCCAACCATCTTGTCATGGCTCAGAACCCACTGGGAGCTCCGCTTCAGGAAGTGCCCTCAGAGCGGGGGCACAGGCCACAGGAGAAAACACGTTCTGTGAAGCAGTGTTTGACCTACCTGCCTCACTCCTCAGATGTGGTTCTGAGTATCCTTTGCCTTTTAGAAGAATTAAACCCACTGCAAGGTCTGAAGACATACTCCCTCCCCTCTGTTGATATTCTAGAGAAAGTTCTAGACGCATCTACAATGAAGGAATTCCAACACCATTTAAAGTTGTGGCAGGATGGATAGCAAAAGGGAGGGAAAAGGCTACTTCTGACTCTTCTGGTAGGCTTCTTAAGTAGCAGCATGATCCCAGCCCAAGGGGTGTATGTCACTGGGGGGACTAAATGGCACTGTTTTTAACATTTCCTCAGACACATCAAGGCAGTGCAGGGTCCCTGCCTTGCAGCCTGTATTAGTGGGGAGAGGGGAACAAATGCCATCACAATCTGAGCCTGTAACTGAGACTCAGAGGCCTGAGGCAGAGGTGGTACAAGTTCTGAACTGTAGGATGGAGGGGGAGAAACGACCTCTGGGGATAAAGACCATGAAAGGTGAGCACCCATGAAAGGGCACCTGGGGCAGGGAGGAAGGAGCAAGGGGACACAGCGAAAAGAAAAGCAGGTGTGTTTTTATAATGTTTTATAATCTGTAGCAAACATAAATCCAACTCTTACTTATTATTCAGTTCTAAGGCACTTGGGTTTAAACATTCAAAATATCATTGCTGATATAATTGTAAGGCATTAAAATCTTAGCAAAACATCACATTTGTGTGGCATTAAAAAATGTAACAAGATTTTAACACAGTGCCTTCATAGAACTCCATGGATTAGGAGGCAGAGGGGCCCTGGGATTACTCCTTGCTCTGTTTCTCATTTGCTGTGTGGGCCTGGACAAGTGACTTAACCTCTCTGTTTCAGTTTCCTTATATATAAAATGGGTAAATGAGGAAATGTTCTTGTTTTGGGTTAAATTGTATTCCCACCAAAAAGATGATGAAGTTCTTAACCCCTAGTACCTGTGAATGTGACTTTATTTGGAAATAGTCTTTTCAGATGGTCACATTAAAAGGAAATCATTAGGATGAACCCTAATCTGATATGACTGGTGTCCTTTATAAAAAGGGGATGTTTGGATAGAGCGACAGACATGCACAGAGGGAAAACACCATCTCAGGCTGAAGGAGCCATCTAGGTGATGCTTCTATAAGCCAAGTGAGGCCAGAGACAGCCAGCAGCCCCCAGGAGCCGAGACGGAGGCCTGGGACACCTTCTGTCTCACAGCGCTCAGATGACCCAACCTTTCCAACACTTTGATCTTGGACTTCCAGTTTCTAGAACTGTGAGATGATACGTTTCTATTGTTTAAGCTACCCAGTTTATGATACTTCGTTAACAGCAGGCCTAATACACAAATACACTCTACCTACCTTCCAGAGTAGGATCACATGAGCTGGCATACAGGGTAGCATCAAATGAGGTGGCATATATAAATTCACTTTGGGGAATAATGGTATAAAATAGTAGGCGAGTATAGACTCTCATTATTGCCAGTTGCCATCTCTGTAATCACTCAGGCAAGGGTACCTGGCAGAGGGAACTTACCTCCTCAGGCTTCCCTCCACTATCGAGGGATGTTTACCCTCAATACGACTCTAAGTAGGCCAAGTCATGAAAAGCAAATACAAGTTTGGACATGTTTTAATAGTCAGATTCTAAAAATCCTGTGACTGTGGGACGGTTCTGGGTCTCAGGACTACCCACAGGCGGATGCGACCGCAAACCCCCGCCGTTGTCTCTGGGGTCTCCTGCTGTCTGCTCAGGCCTGCTCAGGTGTTCAGATCCCGAGTTCCCAGGCTCCAGTAAGCGATTTCTCATCATGACATTACTGACTGAATGGCTACTCCTACTGAAGGCCCCTGGAGGGCGGGTCGTACTCCCAAAGGAGTGACCTTTTCACTGGAGCATTTGTGTGCGGGTCTGTGAAGGACAATCTGTAGGTGCCTACTGACACAGAGCAGCCATGGCAACTGGCTTGTTCCCTGCTGCCAGCCACTACCATCTGATCACTTACGGAAATGTCAAGCTCTTCCATTTTGGATTTGGCATTCCTCTTGATGGCCAGAATCAGTAAAAGAGCCCCATCCATACTCAGAGGGTTCAGGAATAGCTGTGGGAAGTGGGGTGAGACGGAGGACACTGGCTCAGAGCATGACTTCCATTTCTTCCCATCGAATCGCAGTCTCTGTCTTCCACCCGGACTTCTCTGTAAACACCTATCTCCCTGTACATCTGCTTGTCCAGTCATCCATCCATCTGTCATTTTTACTGCTCATCCATCCATCCATTCATCCATCCATCCATCCATCCACATACCCATCCATCCACCCACCCACTACTCACCTATCCGTCTGGCCATGTATCTATCCATCCACCCATCCATCCATTCAACAAATATTTCCTGGGGGCCTGCCATGTGCCAGTTGCTGGGTTAAGCACAGGTAGACATGACAAGATCTCTACTTTCAGGAAGACAAGGGTCGGCAGGTGCCAAGATGCAGAGCTATTTGGGCAATAGCAAATGTTTTGTGAGCAGGAGCAGAGAGAACAAGTCCACAAAGCTGGGATGGGCCAGATCACACAGGACTCTGTGGGCTTAGTTAAGGGTGCACGGAATTATCTCAGGGGTCCTGGGGGCCCCTGAAGCACGTCAGGGGAGCCCAGTGGCTCTGCTTACTAGCTTCCTGGCTTTGTGTTAGTTCCCTGACCACCATGTTACTATCACCTAGGGATGTTCTGAGGATTCAATAAATCAATTCAAGAATTCAAGCCAAGCTTTCAAAGGAGTGCTTGGTACACAGTAAGCAGCAAACAAATGTTAGTTATTATTACTGAAGGCTTACTGCTGGGTGGTTTCATAATGAGGCAGGCTAAACTTTTATTCACCATCTACCGTATGTCAAGTGTTTCCCAGGCTCTGATGTATCCAGGGAGAAAAGAGGGGCTTGGGCCCTGCCTTTGTAGGGCTTAGCATCTAGAATCCTTTAATTGACTCACTATCCAGAGGGAATTCCTCATATTTCCAAGATTAGGGAAAGGAGGGCTGGGCTGGATGTGAACAATAGAAAATTCCAGTGGCAAAATTGATGTGACCTCCACCTGTGGTCAAACTGAGAGTTAGGTTTTAAGTTATGTTTTAAAAGTTTGTCTTTGATTTAAAAACATTTAAAATATTTAAAATATATTTATTACATATGGTCACTGTAGAAGAAATTTAAAAAGACATAGAAAAATGTTAAAATCACGGATATCCCACCCAAACCAGAGAAAACCCCTCTTGCCATTTTTAGCCTTTAAAAATGTAGGTTCTCAGTCCTTCCCTGGGCTTCACTGGCCACTGGGGCTGAGCCAGTTGCAGGCTCGGTCGGTCTCTCTTCTCTGCGTTATACTTGGTCCCACTCCCTCCCACCAGGGCAGACTCTCGGCTTTCCCTCTCAGCCCAGGGCCTGGCTGGCTGGTCTGCCATGCAGGCACCAGGCTCCCTCTGCTGGTCAGAGACCTGACTTCCTCCTGTCACCTTGGCGGCTCTAAGGTGGCTGTCCTCTCAGATGGCAGCTCAGCAGCATAGATTCCTAACTCTCGTTCCTCTTCCACCAGCACTCCCACATCTGTGCTCCCCCATGAATCACTCCACATCTTCAGGGAGTCAGAATTACAGCGGAAAGCCAGAGAGGGCTGAGTGCCCTGTGCCTCTTGCTAGTTGGGCATACCTGGCTCATAGTAGGAGCCCCAGAAAGGGGACCTCATCTTTCATCTGTTTTCCAACTGCCTGGAAGCTTCTATGTTATAAATTAGCTTCCATAAGCAAATTAATTTAAAATGAAGTATGCATCCATTCATTCATTTAATAAATATTTACTGGGGAGAACTATATGCTAGGTACAAGGGGTATAATCACAGCCACAACCAAACAGTCTTTGTTCTCATGAAGGTTTCACGCTGGTTAGGGTGACAGAAAGTTAGAGAGTCACTATTCTGGCAAGTCCTGCATGGAGGGGTGAACAGAGATCTGAGGGCTCTGCAGCATTCCCTGAGGATTGCTGCTCGGCTTGCTCTCAGACAGAGCAGTAATTATGGCAAGTGGAGGGGAGCAGCAGAGTGCAAGCACTACCAGCTGAGGGCACATGCTGGCGGGGCCCTGGCAGGATGGAGGGAGAGAAAGAAGACCTCAGGGCCTCGGCTGGAGAGCAAGGCAGAGCCTCAGGTAAACTGAGGTGGGAGAAGCACAAGGGATGAACAGAGGAGGCCATGGGCATCTAAGCTGGAAGAGAGCAGATGGGGGCAGGGCGGGTGCAAGTCAGATTTATGTTCAAAGCAGGCACTCTGGCTGCAGTGTGGAGAAAAGTCTGGAGGAGACTCAGATGGGAGGAAGGAAGACCCATTTAGGACCCAATTGCCATGCACCAGATAAGAGTGGAGGGGGATTTGGGTTTATAGCCATGACATAGTCAAGAATGTAGGTGCACATGAAGCACAAGGGAACTTTTGCAATGATTCCAGCAATATCACGCCCCATTGCCTGCTGCAGGACCCCAACACACATGGACATGCACATGCATGCACATAGATGCACGCTCACAGATGCATGGACACACTGATGCACACACAATGCATGGACACACACATGGACACATGCACACACACATGGATGCCCACATGGAAGCATGGAGACATGTATATGCGCATGGACACACACACACACACAACTGCACACACAGAGCAGCCCAGGGCCCAGCTTACGTAAAGTCTTTACCTTTAGAACTCTGAGGTGTTCATTGAACTCCAGGCCTCTGCTGATTTTGGAGACTCCTTCATTGCTGATGTCGTTGTTGCTGAGGTCTAGGTAGGCCAGAGTGTTGTTGAGTCTGAGGACCTCCCCCAGGGCTGCAGCCCCCTTATTTCCAAAGCCATTCATGGAGAGATCCAGTTTCTTCAGGGTCCCGTTAGCCTCCAGGGAGAGGGGAGAAGAGCACCAGTGGGGGGTTGCGTGTGACTCGTGCAGCCCGACGGGGCTGTCTCTCACTGCTGGCTTCCCCACTGGGTGCTCAGTGACACCAGGAGAGACAGATCTGCCAGATCTTTCCAGATCCTTCCCAGCTGAGACAGTCTCAAGCTCTCTTGAGACTCATTCCCTTTGAGTTCTGGTCATACCCCACTCCCTAATTACTCGGCCCTCTTCAAGTATCCCTAAAGATGCTGCCTTGGCCCCGGCAGGGTGGGATTTACAGTAAAGAATAACGTGTATCCAGGAATTGTGGGAGGGAGTCTAACAAGGTGACAGCACTTGATGCGAGCTCAGTATGCCCTCATTGATGGGGACCATGAGGACGAGGCTCAAGATGGCAGGGCGAGAGGCCTGACCACCCTCAACTGGCTCACACATGGCACTGAGAATGCCTTACCCGGAGGCCACTGCACAGGGCCTCAGCTCCCCGTATGTGGAAGTGATTCCAGCTCAGATTCAGCGACTTGAGCCCTACGTTGAAGCCTGGGGGAGGGAGGGAGTCATCTGAGTATCCCCCACATCCCAGAGAACCCACTTGCAGAGTTGGTAGATACCCATGACGTTGAGGATGAGGATCACTCAACGGTCATGCAAAGGAAAAAACTGAGGTAATAATTTTTTAGTTATTCATTTAAACACAAGATTATAAGGTGATGCCCAAAGCTGGCAATGAAGCGGTAAAATTATCTTACTCATATATTGCAGGTGGCAAGCAAATTGGTGTAACCTGTATACTGTGGATATACTGTAAATTGGTATAATCAAATACTGTCTGGTCACAGGGATTTTCCTAGTAAAACATGTATACCCTATTACACAGCAGTACCACCTCCGAGACACTTCCTAAGGGGACAGTGCAGGTTATGAGAAAAGCCACATGCTTGCAGATGTTTACCATGCCATCACCTACAAAAGTAAGGTTTGTGACCCACAAGGGAAGGGTAAACTAGATCATAAATATCTACCTGGTGGAACATTACTCAGCCATTAAAATAGATGGAGATAGCATGGAAAACCAGGGCTGCGTTTACATAGGGAGACTGTGCTAGGCATGCCACATGACATTACAGGATGCCTTTCTCATGGACACCTACGGGACCGGTGGTGGCTCCAGTATTTCTATCCAGGAGAGCTTTAGGACACACTCAGTTGGAAGTAGGGAGACATCAGGCTGGTCTAAAAATTGGGTTTGCACAAAAACTGCACTTTTTAAAAACTTCAAGATGCTTTTGCTTATATGCTATGCAGGGTAGAGAAAATATCCTATTTAAACACATTATTATTGTCAGTATTATCTGGGAAGATGGATGTTCTGAGGCTAAAGCACTCATGGAAGCTTTACTGAAGGGAAGCAACCCCCTTCAGCCCTCGGCCTCAGAAAAATGTCTTACTCCATATAATTTTTTAGGGACAGTACACTGGGAATGACTGTTTCTCTCCATGTCAACCACCAGAATGTACTTTCGGTCAAGTGCACAACACCCTCTATTATCTTGAGGACAGACTTCTTCCCACCTTCATGCTCTCTCCCTTGCTCTCTCATTTTCTTCTTACTCTTTTTCCTCTTCTCTGCCGATTCCCTCACTTAAGTTAACACCTCGCACACCTGCATCTCTTAAATGGCCAGAAATTTAAATTTTACTTCTGTTCTCATCATTTCCTAGCTGTGCGACCTAAGAGCGGGTCACTTATCTCTCCCTTACTTCTATTTCCTGTAAAATGCAGATATTAACCCACACAAGGTTGTTGTGAGGTTGACATAAACTGCATAGCATGATGCCTATCACATGTGATCACTCACTATTTGGTAGCTTTAATAATATGATAAATATTTTAGAAGCCACATATACAATATGACAATAACCGTGTTTAAACAGAATACAGACTGTTTCGCTTTGCATTTTGAAATTTCATTTACAAATGTTTGAAAATTAGTTTTCAAGTGGAGACTCAAACTGCTCAGTTCTTTTACACTTTGTCCTCCCTCCTAAGTGCTTTCTTATACCTTCTCCCCCTCCTCACATCTATGGGCCTGTACCCCACTATCAGTTGAAGACCTGGCCTCCTACTTCATTGGGAAAATGGCAGCAGTGAGATGGGGAACCTTCATCCTCCCTACACGTAATCTACCAGCCTGCAAGCACCGGAGCACCCACTCTTGGCACCCTCCCTCTCTCCATGAGTGAACGGGCCCTGCTGCTCTCAGAGGCGACCCCTCCATTTTTGTTCTGGCTGCAACTGCTTTCAATCTTTTCAAGGGCTGTGCTCCTAGAACCATTCCCTCCTCTTTCTGCATCATCAGTTTCTCCTTTTCCTGTATCAGCATTTTCCATCCTTTAAAAATCCTCCTGGACTCCATGCACCCGCCTTCCGTTCCAGCCTCATCTCAGCAGAGTCTCTGGAGGTACCTCCCACTTCTTCAACATACTCTGCATGTGAGTTTCCAAACTCACCCACTTCACTAACACAACTGAACCATTTGTCAAGCCACCAATTATCTCCCTGTTGCCCAGTCCAGGGGTCCCTTTTCTGTCCTCATCTTATTTGACCTTTAAGCAGCACCTGACCCAGCTGACCACTTCTCCCTTCTGGAAATAATCCTTCAGATGGGTTACGTGAAATAATCCTTGATACCTCAGTTTCCCTACTTGACTGACCGCTCCTTCTCAGGCTCCTCCTCCCCCTCTGTGACATCTGGAAATGTTTGATGACCCAGGGGTCAGTGCGATGTCCACCTACTCAACATTATCTACCCTCCTTACCTAGACAGCTTCATCCTGTCCCATGGTTTTAAATACGTCTATATGCATATGATATATCCCAAATGTGTATCTCCAGTCCTGACCTGCTGACCAAACTCTAAACTCACATAACAAACCATCTGTCTGACATCTCTAGGTAGGTGTCAAATGGGCAACACAAACATTATGTGACCAAAATGGAAATCTTGGCTCCTGACTCCTGCTCCTCCATACCGGCTCCTGAGTTTCCCCCATCTAAATAAATGACGCCACCATCCAACCAGGGGCTGAAACAAAATAACCACGAGTCCCTCTTTCTCTCTCCCTTTCCTTCATTCTTCACATTAGCAAGTCCTTCTGAAATTTCATCTGAATTCATCTACTCTTGTCTATCACTACCTCTTGCCATAGCTCAGCTATTATCCCATCTTGCCTAGACTACCACACAAGCCTCCTCATTGGCCTCTCTTCTTCCCTTCTGATTTTCCTTGGCAGCATTCTCTATACCGCTGTTCTAAAACTGCAAGCAAACCAGGTCACCCCCTCACTTTAGCATCCATCCTCCAATGATTTTTCATCACATGTAGAATGAAATCCAGACTTCGTACATGTCATGGCCCACAAAGCCCAACATGATGACTGCAGACCATCTCAGTGGCCTCTTCCTGCATTCTCCTCTCCTGGCCACTCTGCTCCAGCCACGCTGTCCCCCATGTTCTTCAAGCAATTCAAGATTTATACTTTTTGCCTGGAATTTGTGCTTCCAGAACCAAGCAGGCTACTACTTTCGATATTCAGGTTTCAATGAAAATCCATCTTGCCTGTGAGGTTTCCTCTTACCACCCACCTATTTGAGCACCCTGTCCCTTTGGTTAACAGTGTCCTCCCCTTTCTATTCATTTCCTCGGGATGAACATTTGGGTTGTTTGTACTCTTCTCTTTTGTAACAATTTTGCAATGAACTGCTTGAGACATCTCTCTCTGTGTATGAGAGTGTCTCTGAGACAGGCAGAGGTGAATTACTGCATCATAAAACACATACATTTTCGATTTTACTAAATACTGTCAAATTGCTCTCCAATGTGTGTTTAACTAACAGCTTCTGAATCTTCTCATTTCTCCCTTGTAGTCACTGCACTTGATAATCTCTGACTTGAACATTTTGCAGCTTTGATAGTGGACAAGGAGGATCTTTTCGTTGTTTTATTTTGCATTACTTTAATTGCTAAAGAGTTTGGGCATTTGGCTTCTTTTTCTACTGTACATATGCCTTGACCATTGTTTTATTGGGAGTACTTATTGTCTAGTTGATCTCTAGGATCTTTGATCAATATTCAAAACACTAATCTTTTGTATTTTACAAATACTGCAAATATCTATTCCCACCTGTTGCTTGTCTCTTAACATTGTCCCAAAATATCTGTATCATATGCAAGTTTTAAATTTATTGTTTTCAAATATGTGAATTATTTTTGTTACAGTTTATCCTCCCTGTGAGTATTTAATAATCTCTAGCCTCCCTGAGGTGAGCAAGTTATTTCTCTATGTGTTCTTTTAATCATTTTAAAGTTTTACTTCCCATATCCAAATGTTTGCTCCATTTAAAATGTTTTTTTGATAAGGTTTACATGCCTTTTATAATCAAAACATTTGATAATGATGAAGGACAGGAGTTGCAGCTCTGACAAGCAATTGTCCTCCAAGTCCCTCTTCCTTTTGTGGGACACTTACCCAGCATCTGTCCCAGGTGTTCACCTCCCTTATCAGAGAATTGGTTGTGGCTGAGGTCTAGAGTCTTAATTCGGTAATTGATCTACAGAAAGCAACAGTGGAGAGAGGTAAGTTTTGTCTTTTATGTGACCATAAGTAGCTCATTTATTTTGGGCAGTGTGATGGAGGGCTCCCATACACCAAAAATTGAGTAGGCCAGGGGTCTTACACTGAAGACAATCTCCTGTTCATTTTCTGCTTTACTGTTGATGAGTTCTAGGAGAGTTTAATGACATCCAAACAGCCCTGATGAGGCTTTTGCCAGGATTGGCAGAGTCCAAACACTCACCAGCATTCTAAACCCTGCAAGGGGCCTCATTTCCCTATCACCAGGGTCACCCCACCTCCAGAACTACCAGGGGCATCTCCTGCAGCGCTCAGGTGCACCCACCCCTTGCATCTTACCGACAGGGCTTGGGAGAACAGCTCTGCAGACTCGTCCTTGAAGTTATTTCCTGTAGTGAAGGTGGAAGTTTGCAATGCTGTCCAGACTAGGGCTCCTTACCCTCCCCAGTCCTAGCCCTGCCAATCTCTTCCCTTTGGAATAATCAGCCATAGAAAAAGGGACAAGTACTTAAAGCAAATACATGGACATAGAAGAAAACACTAGAAGAAGGGCAACTGTTTACCATCTCCTTTAACATTCCTTCCGTCTCTGCCATGATCGTCCAGGAGTTCCAGGAGTTGGTACACCACACCCTGTGCATTCTTTTGCAGCACCAAGCCCCAGCCTCATGCCTAAAGTCTGCAACACTATACAAAACGCTAATCCAAGTCTGGCTGTGACCAGAGAAGAGGGTAAGGGAGGCACCTGCTTTGTATGCAAAACCTGCTTTGTTATGAAAAGCTCAATAATCATGATGTAATCATGAAGAAAAGTATTTAAATACGATATTTTAAAAAATCAAAGTAAAAATATGGGTGAATGTAGTAACCACATCGTTTTTCATGTGAAACCTTCATAAGAGTGTATTATCAATGATACCTTAATAAAAATTTTAAAAAAATAAAATAAAAATAAAAATAAATCAAAACCAATGCAAAAACATCTATGATGAACACAATTTAAAAATTGTAAATAAAGACAAGATCTGACTCTCCACCTGCATAGCTAGGCCTCACCCACCTCACCCTAATCTATTCCTTTTGGATCCTGTTTTTTTTTAAAGTCTTGATATTTTGATCATCACACATTTTTTTGCATTAATTTTGACTTTTAAAAACATTGCATTAAGACATTATTCACTTGGTTGCTGAGTTTTTTGGAGCCCCTTAAAATTTGTGACTGAAGAGAGTGCCTCCCTTTTTGACCCTAGCCTTGGACCTGCTTAGTTGTCTAAAAAGATTTCTAGGAAATAGGTGTGATTTCTAGGAAATAAATAACACAGAGACTTATACCCAAATTTCTCCTTTGAGCCCTTAATAATCTTTGTATCTCTAGCACCTAAATAGTGCTTGGTACATAACAGGTGCTCAATAAATGCTGAATGAATGAATGAATGAATCAGTCTACCGAAACACAAATACTTCTTTGGCTGTGTCTGGTACCAGTGCAATAAAATGGGATAATGAGCTAGTCAATGTATAAAACTAAGTGAGTAGTTATTTAAATTATTGTGTTTACATCAGGGGTTACAAATAGTGCAGAACTAGCTTTAAGACAGTCATCTGGGAAGTTTGATAACATACAGATTCCCAGATCCCTCCCCCTAAAGATTCTATTCAGCAGCCTGGTATAGAGCTAGGTACTTTGTATTTTTACAAAGAGCTCTTCATAGTATGTTAATACTATATTAGAAGCCCAAGCCAATACAACCAGAAAAACTGGAACCCAAGCTCTGTGACTTCAACACCCTTACACACTAAATCTGATTCACAGGTAACTTGTTGATAATTATGGAGATGGTGTAGGGAAACAGATATTCCACTGGCAGAACTATACCCTGTACAGTCTTCTTAAATCAAGACATTCAATATTTTGAATACCATTCAGTTCTTTCTTGAATTAAATTATTAAATATAAATTTATATTTTAGAGGAAATCTTTTAAAAAATAGTGGTTCCTTCTTGCATATTTTTATTTATATGTTTCTCACTCTGCAGTTGAGTGCAAGATATCTGCTTGCAGTTTCAGTTAATGAATAGCACTGCTCATGCAGTTTGGATGATAAATGATTGATCACTCAATGTATAGTCTGTATCTGAAAACTGTATTTTCTGAAGTTCTTGGAGGGTCCCATGCTGCCACTTGTTGCATCTGAAAACTCTCATGGTGTTTTGTTTCCTTGTTTTGCAATTTTGGACTGAGAGCCTTTTTTAAGTGGAGTTTTATCTGTGGGAATCCTAAGTAGCCTGCAGCTGGGTCCAGGGGTTGTTGTGCAAAGAGGTGCTGTGTTTGTTTCTGTTGCATGTCCCAGGGCATTACCAACATAGGACAGACCCTTATGTTAATTTCTTGCCTTAGGGGACCCTGAATATAGTATAAATTCAAACCACAACCCTAAATGAGGGCAGGACTGTGGATGCTAGAATTCATAAGAAAACTGTTTTTCCTGTGAGAAAGACAAATAATAAACTAAAAAATCCGTGTACAAAATCCGGGGTCAGGTAGCAATAGATGTCATTTAGAAAAACCAAGCAGGGAAGCAGGAGAGAGAATGATGGTAACGGGGGTGGAGGGGGGTGCTGCTTGCATAGGGAGGTCTGGAAGTTCCTCCTAAGGAGATAATATTTAAGCAGAGACATGAATGAAGCAAGAGAGTGAGCCGTGCAGCCAGCTGGGGTAGAGACTTCTATGCAGTGGAAGGAATGTTGCACAGTACATCAGAAGTCACGCGTCCAGGAAAGCTGGGAAGCCAGAGTGGCTGCGGAGAGGGGGCAAACGTGAGTGGAAGGGCTTAGCAGGGTGTAGACAAGTGCTCTGGTCTCTGAACGCGGAAGGGCCTGGTCTGGTTCAATGAGACCTGGGTTCTCTCGGCTCTTTCCCTCCCCTCCTTTTCATTCCCCATATCCTCTCCCTCCTCTTCCATGGGCTCACCTGCAAGCTGAAGGGTCAAGAGTGAAGAGGTATTTCTCTGAAGAAACTCTGAGATGATGTGAGCCTCTTTCAGACCAAGATTATTGTCAGAAATGTTCTAAAAGATAAGAGAATGCTTAGGTTTGTAAAAATTCCACTGAAGGGGCCTCGTTAACAAATGATGCCAGGGTGGGGCTTGCTTGAGCCTTGCACCCAGGGAGTAGTTTTGGTGGAAGAGGGGGCAGTGGTGGAGGGACAGAAGGACTAGGAAGTGCAAAGCCGAGAAGAAGATAGGAAACCTGGATTTTCTCAAGCCTTGTTCTGAGGCCCACTGGCTGGTCTTAGTTTTCTCTACAGCTAACTTCAATGAGTTCCCATGCCCCAATTTAGCCGCAGTACTTTAGATAAACGTATTATAATTTTTTTGGAAACCCAAGACAGCTTTATGTACAGAATTTGGCATAAAACAACTAAAAAATTAGAGTGAACCATCACTGTAAATTGCATTCATTGATTCATGTAGCATGAATCACTCTGCTAGGAAGAAGTAGGGATCTAAATGGACATAGTCCTTTCAGGCTAGTGGGAGGAACTTCATATAAACCAGGCAATATTGTCTTAATTGTTTTTACCCCCCCTTTTTTCAATTTTTAAAATTGTGGTTAAAATAGACATAACACCATCTTAACCATTTTTAAGTGCACAGTTCAGTGGTCGTAAGTATATTTGAATTGTTATGCAACCATCATCATCATCTATCTCCAGGCACATTATATTTTATGAAATTATTCCATGTTTTTATTTTCCTTAAGTTCATTTAAGGCAACTATACAGAAGTAAGGTTATCCATTTGGGGCTTATGAGGTCTAGACAGAAATGTCTTCTTAGGGTTTCCTATGGCCACAGGGGTCCCAGTGCCCCTGGCCAGCCTCTGAGAAGTCACTTCTAGGGATTGGGACCCCCGGACCCATTGCAGAAAAGCTGGCGGCTGGCCTGGGCTGGGCAGGGGCCTCTGGCTTGTCCTGATTAGGCTCTGAGCCCCCAGGTGTAGGGGGACCAGCAGGCAGGGCCCAGTACCATCTCCTGAAGGTAGTAGTTCTCTTGCAGCATCTCTACCAGGCTCAAGACGCCCTCCTCCATGATGCAATTGTCTGCCAGCTCCAGGGTGTGGACAGTCATGTTGGACTTCAGCCACCACAGGGGAGGGGGAGGAAGACAGAGGTCGTTGGTGACCCAGTCAGCTCCTTGCTCTTGCCTGGAACCTGTCCCCTTTCTTGAACAGCCCAGCCTTTTCAGGGCCATGGAGATGCAGGCTAGTAATTCTGGAGGAGTGCATGGGGACAGGAGAAAAACACAGGGACCTTCTATCCCACCGAGCTTTGCTGGGACAATATGCTTATTCTGGGCATCCCACCAAAAGGGGCTCCCAGGGGACTTCAGAAGAGGGACATTAAAACAGGAGAGCCCTGAAAAGTAGCTGAGGCACAAGGATGAGCTGACCAGATTTTAACTATTTAGCTTCAGTTGAGAGGCCTGTGACCCACTCCAGGATTAAGGAGAACTTGATACTTTTAATAAGGGTAGTTAAGCATTAAGCATATCCTGTGGCTGCTTCCTTCAGAGGCCTTTCCTTTAGTTGAGGCTTCAGGCCCATCAGGACATTGTCTCAAGGCTCTTTAGAAGGATCTGGACTTAAATACCTATGTCTCAGTGAGTCTGCACTCCCACAGAGAGCAAGGCAGGGGGAAATGACTTGCAGTGTGTGGGACTGGGGCTAGTTAGCTCTAGCCAGCACTTTGATCCTTCCCTTTGCTGTCTCATTCCCATTACAGAACATGTAAGCAATGGATGCATCTTTGGATCCGAGCATTTTCAAAGCACCCCAAGCAGTGAGGGGAGCAGCAAGTGCTAAGGAGCTCTAGCTCCAGGAAGAGGGAAAATGTGATAGTGTGAGCTACTGCAGGGCAGAATGGCCACCCCCAACTGGGTGGCTTCATGAAATGTCTCAGTCTGGTCTCAGCTTGGGGTGGGCACAATTCTGTGTACTCAGAGCCAAGGGAGTTGGCCCCACTGGCCTCCCCTGCTAGGTGTCATTTAGCAGTGTCCAGAAACAGGGCTTAAATGGCCACTCCCAGAGTCATCCTGGGGTCAACGGGCACTGCGTGGTGCATCAGACCAACTGATCACCACGTCCATCCACATGTGTCTTATGCAGGTGCATCACTGTTGGTTCCCCTCTGTGCCACCTCTGGGGAAACAAGGATGAACAGAGAACATCTGGGACCTCTAGGGGCCCACACCCCACCAAGTGCAAGGGCATGGAGATATGCAGGTGGGGGACAGACTCAAAAGAGAAATATGACCCCTACTCTCAGGGGGCTTTTAATCTAAGCCAGGGAAACACAGCATGTCTGAAGTTAGCAATACAAAGGATCCATGGAAGTGCACTCCTCCAGAAGGTCCCAGTGGTTGTCAAATGAGTGATGCAGGGAACCACAGAAGGAAAACTCCCCCAGGCAGAAACTGCTGTTACTAAGAAACAAGTGGCCCAAGTCATGAGAGGATGTCATCATTATACATTTTTTCCCCATGAAACTCATGAGGTAATGGTGCATTCCTAACACTCCATTAATCAGTCTTTCAACGCTCAATAAATTTCAAGATGGCTTTGTTCTTTCTCTGCTCTTCCCTCTTTCCTTCCTCTCCCCAGAAAGCAGCAAGTCTCACATGACATGTAACTTTTTAATGGGCATGTGCTAGAAGCAGATGCTTTTATATCTCCAAAAATGAGCTAGTGCTTTTCTTCTTTCTCATGGCACATAACCTTTACTGTCATAAGTGAACAAACAGTGTTGCGCTGACACAGCTATTGTTAAATTTTCTGTTTTCCTAGGATGGGAGTCAGTTTTTTATATAATCAATTATAATTATAGAAAGCTAGGATGAATTCAAGGTCAAGTCCTTGTTCACTCATGCCAAGCCAAAAAAGGAAGAGAACATTATTCCTGTGGGAAACCATGACCCACTCTACAGTTCGATCTTTTAAGAATTATGATGTTGCTAAAGGCAGACATGGAATGGAATGGCTCAGTAGTGAACCCATTTATAGCAAAGGTGCGCTTCGGAATTGAGACCCAGGCTGACGTTTTGTATTGTGCTCTCACATCAGCACCTGGGCCCAAGCCCAGCCTCGCCGCTATTCCAGGGCTGGTATTTCTGCTTCCCGAATAGGACAGAGCATAACTTCCAAGGCCCGAGTTGCCAGCAGTCTCCTTCCTAGCAGCTGGTGTGTTATGTCGGCTGGAGAAATCACCTGGCAGTGAAATAGAGCCTAGAGCATGGTGGGTATAAAGGCTGCAATTTAGGGTCTCTGACTTGTGGGCCTGCCACTCTGTCATCTCTCCAACTCTGTCAGGCTTTGTGGGCCCCCACTGGCAAGCTTACCACCAGGGCTATAGCAATGGCCTTGGTACCGTTGGGGCCCAGCCCATGGTGGTTGAGGTTCATGTAGGATTTCTCCATGTTCTGGATGAAGCTGGAGGCAGGTACGACACCCACTAGTTTGCAGGCCTCCAGGTATAGCTCCCTTTGTCCAGTGGTAAAAAATTTCTCAGTATCTGCATGGAAAGAGGCATGTGGATGAAGTAAGGTTTCTCTTCTATCTTTGCCTTTTCTCCACCCCCAGCTTCTGATTGGTGTCCCCTCTGCCTGAGGATCTCTCCCTACGGGTGTGTGCTCTAGAGGGCAACTCCAATCAGGAAGTCAGCCAGAGGTGGGAGATGTAGACTCTAACCCAGAAAGCCCTATATGGACATCTCTCTTTGGTTAAGAGCCCTGAGCTTTCCTAGGAGAAGGAGCAGTGTGTCCCACCCCTACCTTCCCCTGTTGGCCTCATACAATGACTGATCATCAAAGACATGCAAAGGCCCAGCTCTCCTGCACACCTTGAAACAGCTCTAAAAGTCAAACACAGAAAACTGGTGATCTGTGCTGGTTGAGAGAGTCCCCACTTCCATTTTAGTCTCACTCTTGTGTCAGGAGTCTGGCACAGAATATCTGGAGTTTTTATCTGCCACCCCCTGCAACCAGGTACAATTCCATGTTGAGAGCGACATGAATCACACTTATCCCCACCATTAAAATGTGAGCCATAGATAAAGCTTTATAAAAGACTTAAAGATACACTTAAAAATAGCCCGAGTAGGTCAGAGTGGCTGTGTAGGGTATTTAGCAGGATCCCTAGCATTTATCCACAGGTAGCAAATCATTACAAGATGGGGAAACTCTCAGGTAAGTTGGAAACGAACTCGTATTTGAGCAGGCTTTCCTCTTTCAAAGACTTGCATGTCGTTTTTCCTCACAAAAAGGGCCATCATCCCTACTTTACCAGTGACAAATCTAGCCACAAATCATAGCTAGCTCATCAGTGCTAAACCAGTCAGAGCAGCCAACAGAATCAGGGACTTAAGCTCTCCATTTCCAACTTCTTGGGGCCTTTGTTCCTTGGGCCCTAGACCTGCCTGGCTCGTGGTCAGTGGGCATTGGGCTTCCCTGGCTTCTGGATGCCCCCACAGCTGTGTTCTCATAAGCAAGCCCCGTCGATGGCTGAGCTTCCCGGGGCCAGCTGGGGCCTAAGCCTGCATCTGTTTTTCCTTTGGCTCCCAGGGCCTTTGGCTAACCCACCCCAAACATTTCTAAGGTGGACAAGGAAAACTTTGTTGGTGAAAGGACAGCTGTACAAGGAGGTTGACTCGGCTGGCACAGCTACAAATTGGCCTCATCTTCGGGAGGGCTGCTGAGCAGGGTTTCTCCATCTCGGCCCTACTGCCATCCTGAGATGGATAATTCTCTGTTGTGAGAGGCTGTGTAGGGTATTCAGCAGGATTCCTAGCCTTTATCCACGAGATGCCAATAGCATCCCCCACCCCCAGTTTGCCAAATGTCCCCTGGGGTATAAAAATCACCTGAGTGAGAACCATGGTTGCATAGGAAAAACGGCACGCAGCGGGCGAACAATGTCTGCTACCTCCTCTCCCTCGGCTGCAGTCTCCCCACCACTTGATATTTCCACCTGGGTTCATGTCTCAGGCTGTCCCAAAGCCCTGGCTGCCCCACTCCCAGATCTCAGCACCAGCTGCAGGGGCCCTAGAAGCTGCAGCAGCCAAGCCCTTAGTCTCTGTCCCGGCACAGAGCTGTTGGCCCCAAATTCAGTCATCAGAGGTTCCTTCCTGTTTGCCAAAGTAGGGTAGGTAACCCCCCCCACCCAACCCATCCGCCACTTCCCCCCACCCCCACTTCCTTGGCACTAATTTTGCTCTGATTCTACTGACCTTTCTAGGTGTATTCACTACTGCTCTATTTCAGAAGCAGCTTGCCACATTGGTATCATTTGCAAGGAGCAGAGGGTGGGGAGGGAGAAAGACAGAAGCAGGAGTCTGGCACAGAACATCCGGAGTTTTTATCTGCCAACCCCTCCAACCAGGTACAATTCCATGTTGAGAGTGACATGAGCAGCAGTCTTGAGGGGAAAAGAAGTCAGAAAAAGAGCAAGAAGATGCGGGGACCTTGCAGGGAGGGAGGAGGTATGTGTGGAGGGTGAGGCTGTAGGTTGACCATGGTGGGGAGGTTTCTGAGCTGACTTTGAAATTGTAGAGGGCAAACATGGGGCTCTCAAGTAGTGGAAACAGGGACCATGGTGCACAGAGAGGAAAGTCCCTGGGATACAAGACGGGCCACAAATACTCCAGGAGCCACTGGAATATAGAATACAGAAGGCAGGGCGGCATGGTGGGGTGAACATGGGATCAGCCAACATTGGCAAGCTCTCGTTGACTTTGGACAGCTCACACACATCTCTTTAAGCTTCAGTTTCCTTCTTTGTAAAAGGTGGGTAATGATGCCTACCTCCTGGGACTATTGCATAGGTGATGTAATGTGTCACATGTGGAAACATTTAGGAAACCACAAGTCCCTGTTCATGTGTTGGTTCAACTCTCATGAAGCTGATGTGACCCCTTGGCCCCTGAAGCCATGAGCACGGGGCAGCTCCAGCTGCTGCCACCCGGCCAGCCTTGAAAAGGACATGGCATACAATTGAGCGTTCCTGGCACATTTCTTCTACAGGATGCCCACCAGGAAGGGCCATGGCCTGCTAGGGAGACCAGATTTCTCCAACTTCCTAGGAAGGAGGTGAGCCCCCACCCGAGCCCCCTAAATGAGCCACTTCCCCCCACCCCCACTTCCTTGGCACTAATTTTGCTCTGATTCTACTGACCTTTCTAGGTGTATTCACTACTGCTCTATTTCAGAAGCAGCTTGCCACATTGGTATCATTTGCAAGGAGCAGAGGGTGGGGAGGGAGAAAGACAGAAGCAGGAGTCTGGCACAGAACATCCGGAGTTTTTATCTGCCAACCCCTCCAACCAGGTACAATTCCATGTTGAGAGTGACATGAGCAGCAGTCTTGAGGGGAAAAGAAGTCAGAAAAAGAGCAAGAAGATGCGGGGACCTTGCAGGGAGGGAGGAGGTATGTGTGGAGGGTGAGGCTGTAGGTTGACCATGGTGGGGAGGTTTCTGAGCTGACTTTGAAATTGTAGAGGGCAAACATGGGGCTCTCAAGTAGTGGAAACAGGGACCATGGTGCACAGAGAGGAAAGTCCCTGGGATACAAGACGGGCCACAAATACTCCAGGAGCCACTGGAATATAGAATACAGAAGGCAGGGCGGCATGGTGGGGTGAACATGGGATCAGCCAACATTGGCAAGCTCTCGTTGACTTTGGACAGCTCACACACATCTCTTTAAGCTTCAGTTTCCTTCTTTGTAAAAGGTGGGTAATGATGCCTACCTCCTGGGACTATTGCATAGGTGATGTAATGTGTCACATGTGGAAACATTTAGGAAACCACAAGTCCCTGTTCATGTGTTGGTTCAACTCTCATGAAGCTGATGTGACCCCTTGGCCCCTGAAGCCATGAGCACGGGGCAGCTCCAGCTGCTGCCACCCGGCCAGCCTTGAAAAGGACATGGCATACAATTGAGCGTTCCTGGCACATTTCTTCTACAGGATGCCCACCAGGAAGGGCCATGGCCTGCTAGGGAGACCAGATTTCTCCAACTTCCTAGGAAGGAGGTGAGCCCCCACCCGAGCCCCCTAAATGCCCACTCTAACCTTCGATCTCCAGGTCTGTTTCTGAACACTCCCAGGCTGGTTTCTCTTTTCCCACAGCCTGGGAGGCTTCGGCCTCACAGTAGAGAGTTTCATCACTGTCCTGTGGTGCTGGTGAGGTTTCAGATTCATCTGGAAGAAAACTCATCTCCTTGATTCTGGAAGTGAAACCTGCCGGCCTCTCAGGTGGAGTCTACCACCAGCTTCCCCTTCCTCTGTGACCCAGATCCTGGCTGCCCCTTTGTCCCCTGAGCCCCACGTGGCTCAGGGTGCCTAGGAACTGAGGCATGCATTCAGCCCTGCCAGGGGGACTCCTTTCTACAGGTCTCCTTCCTGAATGCAGTGCTGCCTCTCCCATCTTACATGGGGTCCTGTGCTAAGCACCGCTACGCGTTCTCTGGAGACCCGCTGCTCCTGCCCATTCCATGTTTGGGATCTGCCTTGGAGATGGCCCCTTGCTCACATATTTCCTTCTTATTGGATTGGGTGGGGTCCCGGTTCTACTCTTTCAGGGAAAGGCTGTGTGTGGATATGTAGGCTTCCACATTAGCAGGCACAAATGATGCCAGGGAAGGCAAGGGACAGGGCTGGGCAGGTGACTCGGGTCAAATATAAAATAAAACAGAATAGAAGCAGTCCTAGGGAGCAAGAAGGATAACTTGATTCCTAAAAATTTGACCTAGCCTTTCTTCCTTCCAATCTAACATTTATTTTATGACCATGAGGAAGGAAGGGCTTGAAAAACTTCCCTGGAGTTGAAATTAATTGCTGTGATTAAATACACATCTCCTGAGCTTCCCTCACACTAGCCCCTGCACTTTATAGATGTGATTTTTCTGTCACTGAGCCACTGATCTAGGACCATCCATGAGCTCCTGAAAGTCACACACAAAGGTCCAGAGCTAGCCTTTCCAAATCAGCAGGAGGCAATGGTTAGGGGGAGCGAAGCTGCCCCACAGGCAGCCCGTCAGAACTTAGCCAATTTACTCTTTGGGTAGGCTGAGCATTCATGGCAGGGGTCCCATTTCTAACTACCCAGGTTCTCAGATAGTGGTGTTCCTGATGAGTCCACATAGGTTCTGTGCCTTTCTTATTCCTTGTCTATAGGCCTATGCTCCAACATTTATTTCACAGCCTGTAAGACAAAGTCATGATAATAGATGAAAGTAGCAGTGGCCTGGCATAGGCCACATAGAAGACATATAGCAGCTTAGTCATCAAACAGTGATAGCTTTCTGAGTCTTAATTTCCTCATTAGTCAAACAATTTTAGAATTTTGTCTGACCAGTGGAATGCTGGTAAATGTTTAACTGGCTCTCCAAGAAAAAAAAATCCTGTAATATTAGTGAATTCAGGTGGTGTAAATATTCCCAATGTAGCTCATTGCAAACTACTAATATGACACTGACCAACTCATAAACTGAAAATTAAAGTCAGCTAGAGCTGGTGTGGGCCAGTTACAGCATAGCATTGCATCCAACTCTCTCATATCCTGCTTGCAAGCTCTGAAGCTAGGTCAGTGTAACCCGTCATCTCAATTCTAGAGGGTTCCTGGTGAGGAGGACAGGGGGCTTCAAGGTCCCTGTGATCACTGGGTGTTATATCAAAGCAGCCCAGAGGGCCTGAGTGGTGAGGGATGGGGTGCCTTTTCACCTTTTGTCTCAGGATCATCTAGAGGTTCATAAATGTCCATGGTGCCAGGGCCTTCTCGGGGGTTGCTGCCAGCTTCTTGCCACTTCTCTGCTGCTTCTCCAAGAAACACACCTGTCCATCCACCTGTGTCTCAAACGTTGTGCACCCTACCCTCACACAGACGAATCCCAGGGGGCCTGTAATTATCTGTCTGTCCCAGAAAGCTCTGGGGAGAGTGGGCTTTCAGGGGAACAGGACATGCATGGATTTGAGCCCAACTTTGTCTGGCAGAAGTAGGTATTTCCTGGGATCATCTGGGGGACGGGTTCAGCTCTGTTCCTGGGAGCTGTGTTGAAAGGATGCCCACCCACCTGTGACTTCATGACTTTGGAGCCACTTTCATTTCATCTTCAAGATTCCATGACCTCATGCAGTCATTGTGACCCTCGTGGGTGGACCTGGCAACAGCCAGCCTCCCCCCCTTGGTGGCTCTGGCAGTCATCTTTTCTCATTTGTCTGAACAAGTGGAGTCTAGGGAAAGGCATTTCCAGGAATGTAGGATAAAGGAAGGTTGTAGAACCCAAGGTGCATTTGTTCTGGGGGAATAAAGGGTACAAAGAGTAAGTAGTAGGGAAAAGAGAGGCCACAAGGACCAGAGCAATTTCAGAGATAGATTCGAATGTAATTAAAAGGCAATTAAGGAGCCACTGAAAATGTTTTAACAGGAGTATGATTTAATAAAGGTTTTTATCATGATGGACAGCAATTATTTTTGCGTGAGAATTAATTCTGGAGAAATAAAATATTCACAAACCGTAATTAAAAATTTTTGTATCTTTTAATGAATGTACTGTAATATCTGCAAGTTCTTTTTGTATAGTGTTCTTTAAAATTTTTCTCTATTGCCGAAGGCTAACCTTATTTTCATTAAAGTTTTTATTTTGAAATAATTTTAGATTACAGAAGTTACAAAAATAGTAGAGTTCCCATGTATACTCTTTACCCAACTTCCCCCTATGTTAACATTTTACATAACCATAGAAAAATTATTAAAACTAAGAAAGTAACATTGGTACAGTTCTATTGACTGAACCACAGACTGTATTTGTATTTTACCAGTTTTTCCATTAATGTCCATTCTTTGTTCAGGATCCAATCTAGGATCCCACATTGTGCCATTTATCATGTTTCTGTTAGTCTCTTCTCATCTATATTGCTTCAATCTTTCTTTGTCTTTCATGACCCTGACACTTTTGAAGAGTACTGGTCAAATACTTTTTGTAGCATGTCACTCACCTTGGATTTATCAGATGTTTTGTCATGATTATTGGGAAGGTCATCAGAGTTCATCAGTACTTCTCATGCATAACAAGGATACATGATGTCTGTATGTATTATACTGATCACTTGGTCAAAGTGGTATCTACCAGGTTTCTCAACTGTAAAGTTGTTGTTTTCCCCTTTGAAATTGATAAATGTATTTTGGAGAAGATACTTTAAGATTTTTCAAATATCCTATTTCCGTTTAAACTTTGTGCCTGTTAATTTTAGCATCCACTGAGGGATCTTGCCTCAACAATTAATTACTATGGTTTTCGAATAGTGATTTTCAATTTCCCACAATCCTTCTATATTTGTTAATTGGGATTCTTCTGTAAGAGATAGTGGCCATTCCCCTCCCCATCATGTATTTGTTTATTTGGTTGTTTATATTAACAGAGACTCATGGATGTTTATTTTGCTCTTTGGGTTATAGTACAATACTATTTGTATTGCTGTTCAAGTTCCAACTTTGGCTATGGGAACTCATTCAGGTTGGACCCTATGCCCTTTCAACAACTCCCCTCTTTTATTTTTATTTTGATCTCTTCTTTTCTGGCACCAAAAGAATCAATCACTTTTTCAAGGAGAATGGAAAACTAGATATGGGAGCTAGCATGCTCATCATTATTGGGTTCTCATGGCTTCTAGTCCATTTCAGTGGATAGAGCTAGGAAATATATGCACGTATGTATATTAACCCATGCATAACACATGTATCTGTATTTATTTCTATACCCATCTATCTGTATATGTTAAACAAAAACCATGAGTCTATACTGATGCCTCTGACTCTAGTCCAGCACTACAGGAGACATTCATGTTCTCTTCCCTTTCATATTTGTCCTTTCTTTCTTTCTCAAAAAAGACTGACTCTCATTCTCTCCAATATATATTTACTTATTTGCTCATCTCTAGTATATATAGAGAGAAGTTTCAGAATTGCTACCCTGGAAACAAATTTACCAACTGGAGTACAGTGTTTATTAGCATGTAGTTCTTTTGTGTAGTTCTTTTCTTATAATAACCAGTCAAAATATTTTTCCCCAAGTTATGTACGTCAACTCTTTCTCCTGATCTCCTTCAGTGTGATTATTTAACTCATTTGTCACAGTCTGCATTTCATCTTTCCCCCTATATCCTGGTTGATTTTATTTAATTTATATACAGTAACATTCACTTGGTGGTGCACAAAGTTCCATGGGTTTTGACAAATGCATAGAGTCATGTGTCCACCACCATGGTTCCATTCAAAACAGTTCTATCACCCTAAAATTTCCATCATTTTGCTCCTTTATGATGAGCCCCCTATACCCCCAACCCTTGGCAATCACTGTTCCATTTTCTATCCTTATTGTTTCATCTTTTCCGGAGTCATATAAATGAAATCACACAATGTGTAGCTTTAGTGGGTCTTGTTTCTTTCACTTTATCAAAATACATTTAAGTTTCATCCATGTTATTGGATAAAGCAGTAGCTTATTCCTTTTCATTGCAGAGTAAAATTCCATTGCAGGGATGTGCCTCACTTTGCTCATCAGCCTGCTAAGACACATCTTCATATTTTCCCTTTATTGTTGATTATGAATAAAGTAGCTACAAAAAAATCACATACTGGTTTTTGTGTGAATGTAAGTTTTCATTTGTCTTAGGTAGATACCTAGGAGTGATATTGCTGGGTCATATAGTAGGTTTAACCTTGTAAGGAACTGCCAAATTGTTATCCTAAGTGGCTATACCATTTTGAATTCCCACTAGGAATACATGAGAGCACCAGTTGCTCCATATTTTTGCCAACACTTGATATTGCCACTATTGTTTTTGTTTTGCCATTCTAATAAGTGTGCGATGATGGTGGTTTTAATTTGTATTTCCTTAATGACTAATGAAATTGAGCATCCTTTGATATGCTTATTGGCTATTCATATATCTTCGTTGTTTTCTGTTCAGATCTTTTGCCCATTTTAAATTGAGCTGCTTCTTTTCTTTCTGTGCTATGAGTTCTTGATATAATCTACATATGTCCTTTGTCAGAAATGTGGCTTACAAATATTTTTTCTCAGTCTGTGGTTTCTTACTCTCAACAGTGTCTCTCACAGAGGACAAATTTTAATTTTGATGAAGTAAAATTTTATCAAAATAATCGTTTTTTTTTTTATGGATCATGGTTTTGGTTAAACTCTCTCTGCCTAACCCAAGGTCGTGTAGATTTTCTCCTATGTTTTATTCCAGAAGTTTTATAGCCTTAGCTTTTACTTTTATATTTAGGTCTATGATCCATTAAAAATATTTTTATGGTAAAATATACTAACATGATGTTTACCATTTTAATCTTTTCAAATGTACAATTCAGTGGCATTAAGCACATTCAAAACGTTGTACAACCATCACCACTATCCATTTCAGAACTTTTTCTATGATTCATTTTGAGTTAATTTTTGTATGAAGTGTAGGGTGTAGGTCAAGGTTCATTTTGCATGTGGATGTTAAAATGTTCCTGCACCATTTGTTGAAAAAAACTATCTGGGAAGAGCATCTTACAAGAACGGGAGAGTTATGCAAAGTTACAGACTACTCAAGAAATAATAGTGCCTGGACAGTGTACATTGAATTTAGCGGTAATTGAGAACTTTAATGGGGGAGTTTCAGTGGAGTGAAGATGGTGGAAGCTATATTTCTGTGGACTGAAGATGAACGAGAGGTAAGGAAGTAGAGGCAGGGGAGCACACAACCCTTTCAAGCAGCTTGGCTGTGAAGGAGAGGGGGAGAAATGGAGGAAGGTCTGAGAAAGACAAGGGAGGGCTGAGGAAGGGCTTCATAATTTTGAAGTGATTTGAGCAGGTTTAAATGTTAATGGGAAGGAGTCAGAAAAGGAAAGGAGAGGAGTGCGCAGAGGGAGCACAGCCTCTGAGGAGGCAGAGGGATGGATGCCAAGCACCGTGGAGAGCTCAGCCACTGCTGGGAGGGATACCGGTCAGTGTGTTGCTGTGGCAACGGAGGGTAGAGTTTTCATTTGGCGGTTCTATTTTTCCCTCAAGTTGGTAGGAAGATGATCTCCAGAGAGCAAGAAGGGAGGTAAGAGGACAGCAAGTTTGAGAGAAATGGCCATTGTGACAATGGGAGAGAAAACTAATTTAAGAACACAGAATTGCTGGGGAGGGTTGAGGGCTGAAGTGAGGTTGGAGGCCAGCACATCTGTGGCTCCAATCTGTAAGGTTGATAATTTTATTCACTGGTGTTCAGCAGCCCAGATATAAGAGCCAAGAAACAGAATGGTTTTACTGACCTAGACAGGTGTGATCAAAGAACAGTGGGCAAGAGAGTTGATACAGGGAAAAGAGTAATTTAAAAGATGGCTCATGGGGATTCATATTGAATAGAAAAAGAAATGATGACTGAAGGGAAGCTTGAGGACAGAACAGAGAACTCAAGGGTTTGATGGAATTAAACAGATGAAGCAGAAGTGAAAGTGGGAGAGACGGAAAGCCACAAGGTGATCCATCAGAGTGGGTGTGTGAACTTTTGATTTCAGAGATGGAGCAGGATCCAGTAATGACACGTCTGAAGTACAGTGGGAATGAGGTCATTGAGGAGGTGGTGACAATGACATTCTAGGATTTGGGACAGAAGGACTTGAGATAGGAAAGGCTGTAAGCCCAGGGATAGAGTGTTCAATGAAAGAGGCTAAGGGGGCCTGAGGTCAAGAAAAGACAAACACTGGGGTGAGTATGGTATAAACATTAATGGGTGCTTAATCAATCTCTAATGAATACATGAATGAGCAAATCAGTGAACAGGTGAATGAATGAATACATCAATTCAGACCAATCTGGCATATTTTTGGAATATCTAGCCATAAATCCTGAGATCCCAGAGGAAACAGTCAGCTTGGAGAAGCCAAGTTACTAGGCGTGTACACGCTTCAGGTGTTGAACATAGGCAAGTCTGAGAGCCCTCTAGGACTGCAAAGGTTCAATACAGTAGCCACCAGCCCCACTTAGCTATGAGCACGTGAACTGTGGCTAGTCTGAATTGAGATGTGCTGTCCATGCAAAATGCACACTGGATTTCAAAGACTTAGTACAAAAAAGAAAAAAAAGAACACAAATATCTCAGGTTTAAATACTGAGGATGTATTGAAATGCTAAGTTTTTAGATAGATAGGATTAAATAAAACATATAATTTCACTTTTTTTTTACTTTTTCTGTAAGGTTACCAGAATATTTTAAATAACATATGTGGTCCACATTATATTTCTCTTGGGCAGCATTGATCCAGGTCTTGGTCACTAGCCTCTGTAATCCTGAAGCATTATGCCACCCTGTATATTGCACATGTTCAACCAATAAATTGATAAAAGACAGCCACCATGTTGAACTTTCATACATATCTGTTGGCATAAGTAAAATTTGAACCCTCAAGGGCTTAGGTTTTCTGTAACAGGAAACTTCCCTCTAAAAGAACATTTTAGAGCCCTCAAAGTATTGCAAAAGCTCCCACTTGACCCATTAGTGAGGTTCCGTATTCTCGAACCCCACTCAGGTGGATGCAGATACTTATCGTTGTCTCCTCTGTTATCTGGGATGAATTGAGGGACTTATCCAGTCTCTCTTCTTGGAGAACTATTTCTGACATGATGAGGCTACAGATGGTGAAGATTAGTCTTGTACTTTTCCTTTGAGTGGGGAAGCCTGAGGCTGTACTTCTCCAGGCCAAGTCTCCTTGGAATCTGCAGTTATTGCTTGCTTAGCAATAAGACATTACAGACTGGAAGGCCCGCATTTTACCAGGGATATGTTAGCAGTAGCCAGGGATGTTTGGGTCTAAATTCAAAAAATATAATAGTAAACACTGAGAATGTATTCTGGGCTGGGCACTGTGAGGAAACTGAGGCACCACGAGGTCAGGTAACCTGAGAAAATTCATGGGTAGGAAGTGTCAGGATCTGAACTCAGGAGGTCTAACTACAAAGCTTGTGATCCTCATTTTCCGACAGAGCTGATTATGGATCAGGAAACAGAAAGAGGGCAGCTTTGCTTACTTGGTCTCAGGAAAAGCCTTGAAAAGAATAGGGGATCAGTTGGCCTGACACATTTTGCCCACACATGCCTCGAACAGCCCAGTTGAGGTCCTTTAGTAGTTTCCCAAACTGTCCACCAGAATAATGTGGTCAGTGTTCAACGGCCCCATTCCAGACCTGGGGATTCAGAATTCCCACAATTCTGGGAGTAGGAAGGGCCTAGGAATTTGTACTTTTAAAACATTTTCCAAGTTAATAAGAGAACCCTCATTTCACAAAATGATAAGCATGGTCTCTAAATAAATACTTTGAGTTAGGATCTGATTTGAAACTTGGACTTCTGGGTAGCTATTGGGACAAAAGTGTATGGAAGGTACGAGGGAGATTTATTTAAGCCACATCAAAGGAGTGGGCCTACCTTTAGGAGCTCCTTAGGTAGAGCTGACGTCTGTGCTCTCCTTTCTAAGAGGCTCTCTTAGACACGGGCAGTGAGTACAGCTGCCTGAGCCAGACACTGTCTCTAAAGCTCAGGGAAAATAGAGGGGCCACAATACTGACCTTCTCTTCTTCCTCCTTTCAGCCTTTCAGTGTTATGATGTACCCAGCAGGTCCTGGATCTGGTGACTCTCTAGAGGGCTTCCCTGAACAACCAAGGCTCCAGCCACAAATGGGAAATTGCACAGCTCAGACACTGGGTACTGTAATTGGGAGTATTGTATAGGCCTTCCTTCTTGAGTGTGGTTGGGGTAGACTATTGAGTTTGGGAAATGTGGATGAGAAACTCAAAGTGGTGTGTGGGTGGCACAGAATCAATGGAGGATCTGGCCTTCATTTAGTGACATAAGCTTTGTTCAGTGGACAAAGACATTTGGCCCCATTACCACGTGCTGACTCCGTTGCAGGCACTAGAGAGCTAACCTCAGTTAGACCAACCAACCAAATAGACCTGGTCCCTACCTCAGCAGAAGTTTTTTTTCCCTTTCTTGACTCCCTAATTCGTGGGACACCCCCCCTTTTCCAGCTTAGATAAAAAGAGGGCCCATTTGGCACAGGATGGGGAAGGAGGCAAAGGTGTAGGCTCACGTTGTGACCTACACTCTGAGCTGGGGAAAGACAGGAGAGTCAGGAAAAGGAGCTAAAAGGGGGAAAACTTGCTCGCTCTCCTCTCAGGGCTGAGAAGGGTGAAATTATGTAAGTCAGGGCTGGATGAGACCTTAAAGTCCAGCCCCTCAGTTTACAGATGTGTAAACTGAGGGGCGGTAAAGCTACATTAGTGGACCCAACTCGGACCCCTAGTTAAGCGGCGTAACTGTGGCCTTTTAATATTAGGGATCCTTCAGCGAGGGGCTTATTCAAACTCCGGCGCCTGGTTGGCCTCAGGAAACCAGGCCGACCGTTGCCACAGAACAGACACCCCGCCCTCTACCGCGCCCTTCAGGCAGGACACTCCCAATAAAGCTGTTGTTGAAGGGCAGCGGCATCACGTGAGCCGGCCCGGGGGCGGGCCCGGAGGCGGGGCGAGTCCGGGGCGGGGCCTCGCTGCGGGAGACCCGGCGCGCCGCGGCGGAGAGGGGAGGCGGGAGCGGGCGCGAGCGCAGGCGGCCGGTCATGATCGCGTCGTGCCTGTGTTACCTGCTGCTGCCGGCCGCGCGCCTCTTCCGCGCCCTCTCAGGTACCGGCCCCGCGTCCTGACAGGCGGGGGCCAGACCCCGGCCCGCCTCGGCGCGGTCCAGTGGGGCCTGGGGTGGCGTGCGGCGCGTCGGGCCTCAAGACCACTTTTCCCTGGCTCCGGTGCCCGCCCTGGACCCCACGAGGCCCGGGCCTGGCCGATGACACTCGTGGGCGGCCGCCTCCTCACGCCTGTGGCGGTGGCGTCGGGCCACAGTTAACCCGGTGGGAGGCGGGAGCTGCTCCTTCCTGGCCGCTCCTAACCCTCGGGAATGCAGAGAGATTTTGGGGTCCGCTGAGTCACTGCCCTGGGGGAGCTGGAGAGGGTTGGCACCTCGGGGCCGAGGAGAATGTCCGAATGGGTAGGGGCCGGTTGGCCCTGGGGGGCTTGTGGGCTGAAGACTAGGACGGACGTGTCTTCCCCTGGGTCAGCTACACACTCACCTCGGACAGCTGTCGCAGCTCTTCTCAGCTGAGCCTTTGGTTGACAAACGAATGCTCAGAATCCAGAGACATTTAAGCCCCAGCTTTGAAGACAGCCCCTGTGCTCTGAGAGATGTGAGGTAGAGGCAATGCCTAGTTGATATTTTAGAGAGCAAAGAGAGTTCTTTCACTTTTTAAATGATCTGCCTGCACCCTCCATTCCTGGTCTTTAAAATTCCTGAGGCTCTTATGAGACCATCAGTTCCTCTTAGCGATCCCACAGAGCTCCCAGAGTTTTCTCAGTTTAGGGGGCGGGGCAGACCAAGAAATACTTTCTTAAAAATAAGGGGTCCAACTGTGCATTCTGTGATTTTTCTGTCTGTAACTTTGCACAATATGTCTGTAATTCATATTATTATATTTGTTGTGTATTTCATATAAAATAGTTTGATTTTTTTATTTCTGTGTGTCTGCCACTAGAAATGCAAGTACCCGTTTTGCTCTTTATCTTTTGCTCTGCATCACTGTATTTCTAGTGCTAGCTAGCACTGCCCAGAATGTAGTAGGCACTCAACTCAGGTGTGTCTTCTGTGTCCATACTTCTGAGGAATGAGAAACTCCACAGAAGTAATTGTCTGCAGAAAACTAAGGCATAGTCCTTTAACCAAGTTGCTGTCATTTCTCGATCTCTTCCAATGTCCATCATGGCAGCTTTAGTGACATACTAGTCCAGAGGTTTCTAGAGCGGTAGGCAGTTTTAGGGATCTCAGAGAAGCCACCTCCCCAACCCACATAACACACCCGTTAAAGTAGTCCCACGTACTTGTGTTAACTTTGTGTATTTGGTTTCTACAGAAGGTTTTTTTTTTTTTTAACAAAAGGTTCTGAAAACAAACCACCGCCACCACCACCAAAAATCAAACTCACATAAACCAAGGACCCTCTGCCATCTGCATAGATGATGTTTCCAGAGGCAGAGAATCAGTAGGTCCCTGAGACTAAGCCAGCTACCCAGCCCATGAGTTTAAAGCAGGGTTTCCCAGTCTTGGCACTGTTGGCATTTGTGCCTGGATAATGTATTGCGGAGCTGTCATTCGCACTGTGGGGTGTTCAGCACTATCCTTATCCTCTAACCACTAGATGCCAGTAGCATCCCCACAGCTGTGATAACCACAGTGTCCCCAGACAATGCCTAATGTTTCCTCATGACAAAATCACCTCTGGTTGAAAACCACTGGTTTAGTGGGAAATAAATTCACATAGGCCATGAATAAGATAGTATCTTTCAACATTGGAACCATTTCGAAGTTTTTCTTGACTTAAAAAAAAAGTAGAGCTGATGAAATTAGCCTCTGGTGGTTGGGGTCAGCATTGTGCATTTTCCTTGTCCTGGTCTGTAAATAAGTGATTTAGTATGTGGGGGATGTTTGCACCAAAATACAGTGCTTGGAGTTTTGGGGCTCTAATTTTAAAGTTTTCCCACCTGCTTTCTTGCTTGTTGGCTGTTACTTGTGGCCGCTGTAGCAAAGAAATGACAGCTGTCTCTTGCTGTCAGTTGTTGGCACCTTCTAACTTACAGCCTCATAAGGAAAGCTGATAATGAAGTTTGTGAAGATTTATGAGTGGAATAAATAATTTTGGAAAGAGGACCAAGGGGCTTTACTAAGAAGTAAGTTTTATGTACTTTCTCATTTGGAATATATTAATAGATTAGAGGATTTATAGAATTAGAAAAGTTCTTGGAGAAGATTGTCTAGTTCAAACTTCCCTTGTCCCCATTTTACAGTCAAGAGTAAGTCTGTCTCACTAGGATCCTTGTCCAAGGTCACACAGTTTTATTAATTTTTGTGCATAATAACGTACAGTTCTGGTCCATGGTCAAGTGCTGGTTCCAAAGTAATGTGGCTCTTAGAACCAAAGAGCTGGTGTTTAATAGAGTCTTAACTGCTAGATAAAAGGGGTGTGGTTGTATGTGACCACATCTGCCCTAGATTCTGTGGGACAGCCATTCTTTCATTCAGGCACTGAATGAATAGTGGGGTAGATCCCTACCATATAAATTAGTTAATACTTGTAAAGCACTTGGAAGAGTGCCTGGTATACCATAAGTGCTCATTCTGTTGATGATTCTCATGTTCCAAGCACTAAAACGGGTAGGCTTACTGATGGTGTGATAATGAGCAGGGTGGATATGATTCTTGCTTGTATGGGACTTATACTCTAGTTGGGAGAAGAGTGGGTTGGGTGATGCTATCATCTTATAACATGATGTTTTGGCTTTCTCCTTAGATGCTTTCTTCACCTGTCGAAAAAATGCCTTCCTGGCGAAGAGCTCATCCCCCCAGGGAGAGGGCAAGTTTGCTATGGCCCCTCGGGACCCTAGCCAGGAGGAGTGTGAGGGCCTGCTGCAGCAGTGGCGAGAAGAAGGGTCAAACCAGGTGCTCTCAGCTGTGAGTGAGAGTCCCCTTGTAGATAAGGGATTAGCCCAGAGCAGCCTGGCACTCCTGATGGATAATCCTGGAGAACAGGATGCTGCTTCAGAGGACAAATGGTCCAGCAGGCAGCTGAGTGATCTGCGGGCAGCAGAGAAGCTGGAGGAGCCTTTTCCTGAGGTGATAGGAGAGGAGCCACTACCAGAGGCCAAGGGCCCAATGTGGGCAGCTGTGCCGATGCAGACTGTCCCCCAGTATGCAGACTGTGCTGTCCTCCCAGTGGGTGCCCTGGCTGCACAGCAATGGGAAGAGGACCCTGCAGTGTTGGCCTGGAGCATAGCACCTGAGCCTATGGCCCAGGAAGAGGCTCCTGTCTGGCCCTTTGAGAGCCTGGGGCAGTTACAGCCTCCTCCAATGGAAATTCCATATCATGGTGAGTTTGACAACTGGCTGACTGAGCCAGAGCAGCAGGCTGTCTTGGGTGTGGGCAGAGCCATTGCTAAAGAGAAGGTTCTTTGGTGGGGAACTCTGGCTACATTCTGTTCTTCTGACAATCTTGTAGTGTCAGGTCGAGAGGGGCCTTAGAGATCATCTCATCCAGCCTCATGGTCTTCGAGGTGAACTAACTATGGTGCAGAGAGGTAACAAGACATGCCTAAAGTCACAAAGCTAAGTAGGGGCAGAACTGAAAGCAGACCCTAGTTCTGGTTCTCTACACTATGGGTTCTCTGGAGGTGACCCAAGGACTTCCTGGGGGTAGGGTAGAGAGCTCTTAGGGCCTTCACTCTCTGTGTCGAACTTCAGTTTTTTCTGTTACCTATTTGGCTCCCATTAACATTTGAAGAGTGACTTCTGTGGCTCAGGTAGGTTTGAAATTCTCTATGCAGCTCCATGCTCTAGGGGAGATGGGGGACGTGTTATGGTTTAGAGGTCAGAAAACGCCCAAGGTTGAGATTACTCTAGAAATGTCTTTAACTTCATTCATCTGAGTGATTCCCCAGAGACCCATGGATTTATCAAAAATGAGAAATTGTCGATATCTATTTGTTGAGTATGTGCTAGGTGCCAGGTGCTCTGCTATGCTAGATACAGTGAATCAGCCAAGATCATCTCTAGCTTTGGAGCTTACTGTCTAGTCTGAGAATGTCAGAGTGCTGCTCAAATTGCCACAGAGAATAATGGGTGATAGAGAAGATGAAAAAAGAAACTTTAGACACAGTATCACTGAGTCAGGAGTGGGAGATGGTGGGGCCTGTGGTTAAGTACTTGTCATGAACCTCTTCTTCTCAATCCCTTTGCAGAAATCTTGCGGCGGGAATGGGAGGATTTCTCTGCTCAGCCAGGTGCTCAGGGCCTGGAGGCAGGGGATGGCCCTCAGTTCCAATTCACTCTAATGTCCTATAACATCCTGGCCCAGGACCTGATGCAGCAGAGCTCGGAGCTCTATCTGCATTGCCACCCAGACATCCTCAATTGGAACTATCGCTTTGCGAATCTCTTGCAGGAATTCCAACACTGGGACCCCGATGTGAGTGAAAAGGGTTGCTATCTTGCATTTGCTCTGGACTTGGGCTGTTTACTAATACTCTTAGAAAAGGAATTCAACTTCATGGTTGTTGATATGACTGGAGTCCTGCTTAGGCCTAGAGCTTACCTGTCTGGAGTGAGTTAGTTTTTGCAGATGAGAAGATTCTCCCTAGATACACACTTTCCAGCACCTTTATGCAGGGAGGGAGACTTGAGGTTATTCAAGGAGCAGGAAAATCCAGCACATGTGTCCAGACTCAGCTCAACTCTGGGCCTGTTATTCCTGGTCCTGGCTGCCTGGAAAGAGTCAGCCCTGTGGGAAGTTAGTGTGGGCCTGAGACCCACAGCAGCTTTCCACCTGTCCTCAGTGTCTGCTCCTAGGGTAGGAGTCATGCTCCAGCACTCTGGGGACTCTGGAGTGATTGGTTTTCTTGTCAATTTCCAGATCCTATGTCTCCAGGAAGTCCAAGAAGATCATTACTGGGAGCAGCTGGAGCCCTCCCTGCGAATGATGGGTAATGCAGCTCCCTGGCATGTTCACCAGTTTTGCTTGTTGTAGTCTGCTCTCCTGAAGGCACCATCTTTTTCTGTTGTCTTATTAAACCCTCAGTCTCAGCTGTGACCTTTTTTGTGTGGGTGAGAAGCAAAGTAGAGTTCTGCAGTTTTAAAGCAATTCTGACATATATTGCAACTTGATCCTTAAAGTAACTGACCCTGTGAGGCTAAGTATTTTTATCCCCATTTTACAGTGAAACTGCAGTTCTGAAAATCTATGTGACTTGCTCAAGGTCACAAAGCTACAGTGATAGTAGACTATGGAGCTACAACTCCCAGTTTGACTCTATAGATAACCATGCTTTTCCTACCAAATGATATTGCTTCATACCTTTTTGTCTTCCCTTCCCCTCTCTCTCTCAGTCATCTGGTTACAACTAACTGTAAGGGAACCTATGCAGAGCCGAGGAATTGCAAGGGCAAGGACCCCCCTTACTGAACAGCAAGAGCAATGCCTTACTTAGGCACATACGCCTGAGCCACTGCCATTGGTTGGAGGGATTCAGGCTTCAAGGACTCTGATCCATCTCCTTGGTGGGGTGTTCCTTGCAGGCTTCACCTGTTTCTACAAGAGGAGGACCAGGTGTAAGACAGATGGCTGTGCTGTCTGCTATAAGCCCACAAGATTCCGTCTGCGCTGTGCCAGCCCTGTGGAGTACTTCCGACCTGGCTTGGAGCTCCTCAATCGGGACAATGTAGGCTTAGTGTTGCTGCTACAGCCACTAGTTCCAGAAGGCCTGGATCAAGTCTCTGTGCCCCCCTTATGTGTGGCAAATACCCACGTCTTGTACAACCCTCGCCGGGGTGATATCAAGCTGGCTCAGATGGCCATTCTCTTGGCTGAAGTGGACAAGGTGGCCAGATTGTCAGATGGCAGCCACTGTCCCATCATTTTGTGTGGAGACCTGAATTCTGTCCCAGATTCACCTCTCTACAACTTCATCAGAGACAGAAAGCTCCAGTACCATGGGATGCCAGCCTGGAAGGTGAAATGGGGAAGGCCATTGTGGGGGTGGGAACACAGCCTAGTGAGAGATTTGGATGTTGGCATCCAGTGCTGCTTCTGTGGCGGGAATCTCATTTTTACAGCTCTTCTGACTTCTTCATGCTTTTCCTTGTTCTGTTGAATAGCTTGTACCCAAGCCTGGAAGTTAGGAACCTTTGAGTGCTTTTGTCATTTTGGAATCGTTTCTGTTTTTATCATTAATTTATTTTTAGTTTATATACAATACATGAGCACATCCTTGCAAGAATTCAAACATTACAAGATAATACCAAAGCTCCCTTTATTACCTGCATTCTCTACTTTTTTCCTTGGAGTCAAGTAATAATGTTTGAAGTCTGGTGGTGGTCTTATAGATTATTTTCTATGCACTACAATGATCTCTATGCCCTGTGATACTGTAATCATAGTTTACATTTACTCAGCACTTACTATGTGCCAGGTGCTATTTTAAGCACTTTACATGTATTAACACATTAATTTTCACAATTTCTCTCTTTGCTTCCATTTTATAAATGAGGAGACTTAAGGCTTAGAGAAGTTAGGTAATTAATTTATTTGCTCTAAGTTCTGCAGGTAGTGGTGGAGTTAGGATTTGTAACCAGGTGGTCTGGCACCAGAGCTCCTGCCCTCCAATACTATGCTGTGATTGCTTCCTGTAGCTGACCTGTATCTATTGTGTGTGTGATTATAAACATGACATATTACTGTATATTTCATTTTGTAGCTTGTTTTTTTCCCTCAACAATGTTTATCTGGATCTGTCTCACTCCTTTTAACTGCTGAATGTTAATAGCATAGATATCTCATAGTTTTATCATGGCTTATTTTGCCCTGCTGATAGGCATTCAACTTATGATGATTTCTTTATACATCACCGAAGTTCCTTGTTCCTGTGTTGCCCCTCCTAATCCAACTTATTGCTTAACTTTCAGCAAGGTACAGTGGAGAAAAGACACAAAATGACTGAATTATTGTTGAGCGCTTTGGGCTTTTTTTGGAATGAGGTTATTCAGGTGCCAGGGGTGTCCTGCTTACCATGTGTGCAGAGAAAGACACCATTCTGCTGGAAAATTACTGTGATCAAGGAGCTCAGGGAAGGGAAAAGAATATACTAAGTGTACACCATGTGACAGGCACTGTTTGGCATGGTGATTAAAGCACTCATTTTGAAGCTAGACAGTCCTGAGTTCAAATCCCTGCTCTGTCACCTTGGGCAAGTTACTTAACTACCTTATGCCCCATTTGACTCCTCTGTACACTGAGGATACAATGGAACCTACTTCAGAGGAATTTTTTTGGGTTTGGTGGATTAGATAAAATAATGCACATAAAGTCTTCTAGTCCCTGCTTCAAAGGAAGCCATCAATAACTGGTAGTGATTATTTGATTCTTAGTTGTATTTAGTGGTATTATCCCATTTTATATTTGAGGATATTGAACCCGAGAGAGCTAACTAGCTTGCCCAAAGTCCCACAGCTAGTCAATGGCCATTAAATTCCAGGTCTGTTTTACTTCAGATGGCATATTGAAATTTATATCAGAGAGATTGTATCATCATTGCTCTCTCCCTAGCACTTAGCTAGTGTCTTGCACATAGTTGGCATTCAAACATTTGTTGTTAAAATGAAATAAAGGGAATTTTGCTACAAATGTTGGAGATATGCAGCTGACTGATGTTGCTGAATGTTCCCCTATTACATTCTGTCCATTCCCAGGCTGCTAACTGGCTTTGACCGAGGATGGTGACATAGATATAGTAAAGTGATTTGGTGCATTTCCCATTTGGTTTGACCCTGTGGTTTCCCAACAGTAGGCTTAAAATGCTAGACCTTGATCCAGAAGATCCAAAGATCAGGATAAACCTTTTCTCACTGCAAATTAAAGTCCCTGAAAGTTGATATTCCCTGTGGAGAACTGTGTAGATTTTTCTGAGGTGAAATATAGGGGGCCAATATGTTCATATGGTTCTATTTTCTTTGACTCATATGCCTTTCTGTCTTGCCCCTCTTTCTTGTCTCATACACATTTCACTTTTTCTAGTAAAAAAATAATGTTTTTAATTAGCTCCTTATTTTTAACCTTCCTCTGAGACTTACATGTTTTGTTTATATTATATATGTAGTATGTGATTGTGTGTGTGTATGTTTATCTGTGTGTCCCCAGAACATGGGCTATTTCCTTTTTCTATCTTGGTTTCCTCATTCCCACCTACTTTTTCCTTGTAGGTATCTGGACAGGAAGATTTCTCCCATCAGCTTTACCAGCGGAAGCTGCAGGTCCCACTATGGCCCAGCTCCCTGGGCATCACTGATTGCTGTCAGTATGTCACCTCCTGTCACCCTAAGAGATCAGGTGAGCACGTGCCATATTCTTGATTGGCTGTGCCTCCATGCCCATTTTGGGAGGAAACTAGCACCTCAATGACAAGAGGAAGTGTAATCCCCTCAGTCCTTTTAGCAAGTTCCTTTGTTTTTCTCACTGTCTGCCTGATGGTCACCCAGTAAAATGGACATCTTTAAATCATAAACATCGGAAAATCTCCTTGTCTTCAGAGCCAGACTTCCTCTCTGTCCCTATGCTGGAAGACTCTTGATATTAAGGAGGTCTTAGCATGTGGTTCTTCTTCCTTTCTTTCACTGTATGGCTTTTCCTGGTTTACAGAGAGATGTAACTATAGCCGAGACTTCCTGTTACGTTTCCGGTTCTGTGACATTGCCTGTCAGCGGCCGGTAGGACTGGTTCTTATGGAAGGAGTAACAGATACTAAGCCAGGTAATTGGAGCTAAGCTTATTTTCTTGGTCTTTTTTTCCTCTTTACTTCTGATATTTGTCAGTTATGTGGTTTCTTAGTCTTTTCTAGGTATAACCCTTAGAAATCAACTTATGGCAATAAGTATGCTCAGAAGGAAGGTCAGTGGAGTTCAGTGGCCATGTACATGCATGGATGTGCAGTGTGGTAAGAAAAAGGGCCAGGAATCAAGAGACCTGGGTTCTAAGCAGCTCCGAGACCTTGCATAAGACACTTAACCTAACGTTTGTAGGCATAAGCTGCTAATAACTAGCTCATGTATAGCATATAGAAGAGAGAGGTACACATGATAGGACTTTGAAAATCGTAAGGTGACAGTAGTCCTAGCTGTAATTATTCCTACTGAGAACTTCCAGATTGAATGTAGCAGAGTATGGTTGACATTCTCCACTTCTTGTTGCTTAAGGGAATGGAAAAAAGAAATGCAAACTCCATCTTTGAGAAAACTAGGTAATCTGAAGAAACCTGAAACCATGAACCACAAGACAGGTGGAATGACTGCAAAAGGCACTGGAGATTATGCAGGGGTGCTGGAGGAATTAAGGGGAGATTTCTCTGTGGGGCTACATGGCTCTCAGAACCAGCAGAGTTTATTTCTCTGAGGCAAGGAGTGTACCTTGAGTGCAGAATCCCAAATCCCTTGTTTCATCAACAAGAATAAGATGCAGAGGTTGCAACAGGAGATTGAATCTGTTTTGGTCCTGAAAGGTAATGGAGGAAACACTGATGGAGGAATCAAGCCATATTGCATTAAGCAGTCTGTTAAGTATGGAGCGGGGTGGGGGATGTGATACAGAGCTGCATCTCTCTTTTCGCTGGGGAGATGTAAAGATTGAAAGAACTCATACACAACCCTGTGTCATAAGGAAAATTTCTGTTACTTGGAATGTATACTCAGTTCTTCCCTTTAGATAAACTTTGTACAAATAGCTGGTATAGAAAACCTCAACTAATTCAAAGTTGGGCTGCCCAAAAGGAACCAGCATGAGGTCTGTACTAAAATACTGCAAGAAAAAAAAGGTGGAAGGAGTAGAACAAATAAAAGGCAGGTAAAGAACACTTAACTTCAAAGATAAAAATTGTTGCCATGGGGCATATGAAAATTACGATTATTTCCCCATGAAAAAAAAAGAAGTAATTATTTTTATAAAATAAGAGCACAAAAACAAAACAATTGCTTTTGTAAAGTAAGTTCACGAATATGGCAAGACATCTGAAGAGGAAATGTAAGCTGCAGAACTCAGAAAAGAAGTGGAATAATACAGAGGAAAGAGGTACACATGATAAGAAAAATTTTAAAAATCATATGTAATGAACACAAAGTGGATGCAACACAAGAGAGAATAGGTACTGCTGAAAATAAGAAAAGAGACAGAGGCAGGGAAAATAAAAAGAAAGTTAAAGGGTAAAAAGGACTAGAGAGAAAATGACAGTAGTGGAAGATAAGGAGATTCAGCATACACATAATTGCAGTTCACAAAGAAGAAAACCAATATACTGGCACAAAGAGAATATTGAAAAGTATGATTTCGAGGAAGATTTTCTCAAAGTGAAAAAATTTGAATATTTGCATTGAGAGGATGTACCATGTCTTGGTACAAAATGACAAAGGAGAATCAACACTAAGACATGCTAGGGATATTACTAGAAGTCACAGATAAAAGAATCCTTTGTGCCACTGAACCAAAAATATTGGGCTGCTTTAAAGGGAAAAAATAATCAGGTTGGCATCAGACTTGTTAAGATAACCATTCAACTCTGGAAGGCAGGGTAGCAAGGCTTCAAGGAAAGAAGGTATGGCTTATGAATTTTATGCTCAACTAAAAGCCTTTCTTGAAGATACTGCTAGAATAAATTAAGACACCAGGCAATGGCTGGAAAAACTATAGTAGAAAGACTGGTAGTAAGCAATGAGATTATTTTTCTTGTAGGAATTTAATTTGAGTTGGCATTTTGCACAGAGCAGCAGACATTTCAATGGCTCAGTTTTTTTAAATTGCAAAGTTAAATGTGTTACTGCTGCTGCAGCGATAGCAGTATGATGACAGCCACCATGCACTGAGTGACTAGCTCGTGCCAGCAACTGGGTTAAGTGCTTGTATCAGTTAGTCTCAGGCAGGGAAGCAGTAGGATCCTGCAAAGGTAATTCCATGTTAAGAATAGGTTATTAAAAAAAAATCAGCACTGTACTTGAAATGTAAAGTAAGCATTTCCATTTAGTAACAAAATTAAGCCAAGAACATTTAAAATACATTCTGACAACCACTTTGTAAGTAGAATTATTATGTAGGGGGAAAATATCCAGTTCACTAAACTGTAAAATAATAGCAGTATTTTCAAAATTGAGATTAAATTTGGATAAACACACCCATTTACCACATATTGTACACATGCCCTTCATGTGTTCAGTACTCCTACTCAGCGCTTAGCAGGCTTCCCACAAGTCTGTTTTAAAGACTCCAGATCTAAAAAGCTATCACCATCTTTAGACCATGAATAGAATAAGTTCAGTCCAAGGAGATCAAAGTGTTTGATCTTTTTTCTAGAGGATGTGGTTAGGTGTGCCTACCTGGTCTATTTCCAGTCTAGTACCAGACATCCAACCTGACCATGCACATCAAAACTTGCTGTCTTGACCCTGACTCTGACTTTAATGGGAAGCATCTGAGTTGCAAAAGGATGGTCTAACTTCCCACAGCTGACGTTGCATTGTGCTGGAGTGTTCTTCTTTACTGGTGGTATAATAATAAACAGTGATTCTCCCTGTCCTCAGTCCCTTTTGTGAGGGACTAATTCATAAGAAGGGGATCTAAATTGTAAGTCCTCCTCTTGTAACATTTTCAGTTATTAGTGATTTCTTCTTCCCAGTATAGTTCTTAAAGACACTTAAAGAGGTTATATGTTGTCTTTCTTATGAGCACCTGCATATTTCCATTGAACTATAAAGCTTCAGGTCTTTTAATACTTAAGAACATACCACATACTCCATTGAGCTCATTGTAGGAAAAAACAATTGCTAATAGACGATTTTTGTAAACCATGATTTACAAACTGACTAGGTGATCACAGAGCAAAGGCTGTCTGATCAGTTTTCTCATGAGGGAAATTCTGAATCCAGCTTCTCCACCGGCCCATGCCTGACACAACTTACTATCCTCCTCACAAGTACTTGCAGAAGAGTTTACTTGCTTGGCTGCTACCAGTGTTGAACAAGCCAGGAAGATGTTGCAACTCGGGTTGAGACAGCTGTGTGTGACCCCTGTGCTCCGGTAGTCTGGTGGGGCCGTCAGAGGCCTCGGGTCCTGAGTAGCTGCAGCAGAGCCAGGACTGTTATACACATGCTGCGTGAGCAGAACCTGCTGTGGAGGGAAGCCATTTTCATTATCCTGCTAGTAGTCACTGTGATCTTTCTGGTGTACTGTAAGGCTAAAGGAGTAACTCAAGAGGAAGATGTTAGGGTTATGAACGTTTATGCTCCAATAGCATCACATTAACAGTCACAGAATGAAACCACAGGATTTAACAAGAAATAATAGTCAGAAAATAACTAATGGTAGGTTTTAATATATCTTTTTCAGTTCACAACACATCAAGTAGAGAAATGATAACTAAGAATATAATTAAGGAACATATTGTATGGTAAATCTGACTGATATATACCAAACTGACCACTGAAAGCAGAGCAAAGACTTCTTTTCAAGTATCCATAGGAAACACTATTACCTAGACATTTAAAAAATTTCAAACAACTTTTGGGTCAAAGGTGAAATTTCAACTGAACTATAGAATAGGAAATAATAATAATGAAAATAGAATATATTTCTGTGATGTAATTAAAATGGTGTTCAGTGAAAAATTCATAGAATTATATAGGATATTTAGAATCACACAATTGTATTAATAGATAAGAAAGATGAAAGTAAGCAAATTAAGCATCCAGGTCACAAAGTTAGAAAAAAGAATAAACTGAAAGAAGATAAAAATGGAAATAATTTAGAAGACAGAAAAATAGCACAAACTAATAAACTCTTAAGAGTTGGTTGTTTGAGTAAAATCACCTATCAGTTAGATGAGCCCATTAGCTAAACTATGTAAGAAAGCAGGGGAGGAGTAAGAAAAGTATCCAGATGCAGAATTAATAGGATTATAAGGGGTTCTTTGCTTAACTAAGTGCAAAAGAAATTGGAAATTTATATGGCATAAGTTAATTTTGGAAAATGTGATTTATTACACCAGTATGACCCCAATATCTGACCAGCAGTTACACAGGAAAAGGAAACTACATATGCTGATATTCTGCACTTCCAAATATTGATACAAAACATTTTAAATAGAAGTTCAGGAAACAGAATCTAGCGGCACATTGAAAGAGTAATATACGACTAAATGGAGTTATCAGAGATATAAAGATAGTTTGATACTGGGAAATCTATTAATATAATTTATCATGTTAATATATAGGGTCTATTAAAATATATGAAATGCATATCATGCAAAATATGTTGAAGGGACATGTGTTAAAATTCAACATTTTTTCTAGATTCTTTTAAAAAGAGCTCTCAAATTAAGGATATAGATAATCCCTTATACTATTATAATACAGTTATCTTGATCAGTCTGAGCATGCTGTGATGGCACAAGGGCTGCAGGCCTGACAGAGCAAAAATGAAAACTAAAACAAAATTATCTCAGCTGCAAAAATCAACACCTTGCTTAGAGGAGACTCTCTAGTAGCCTTCCCATTAAAGTCAGGAGCAAGACAAGGATGCCACTATTATTTTTCAGCTGTGTTTGGAGATACCAGCCATCAGAATTAGAAATATAGTTAAGGAAATAGGAGTTAAAAAATGGAAAGGAGGGGGTAAATTATTATTTGCTGCTAATGTTGTTCAATAACTGGTGATCTAAGAGAGTCAACTAACAACTATTTCTTTTTAATTTTTAATTTTGGTATCATTAAAAA